CCTCTTACCACGCGCTCTGCACCTGTTCCTTACACCACGCGTGTGACTCTCTACACAACTGTTCCTTACACCTGTTCCACGCGCGTGACTCTCTACACAACTGTTCCTTACACCACGCGCGTGACTCTCTACACAACTGTTCCTTGCACCTGTTCCACGCGCGTGACTCTCTACACAACTGTTCCTTACACCACGCGTGTGACTCTCTACACAACTGTTCCTTACACCTGTTCCACGCGTGTGACTCTCTACACAATTGTTCCTCACACCACGCGTGTGACTCTCTACACAACTGTTCCTTACATCTGTTCCACGCGTGTGACTCTCTACACAACTGTTCCTCACACCACGCGTGTGACTCTCTACACAACTGTTCCTTGCACCTGTTCCACGCGCGTGACTCTCTACACAACTGTTCCTTACACCTGTTCCACGCGCGTGACTCTCTACACAACTGTTCCTTACACCTGTTCCACGCGTGTGACTCTCTACACAACTGTTCCTTACACCTGTTCCACGCGCGTGACTCTCTACACAACTGTTCCTTACACCTGTTCCACGCGTGTGACTCTCTACACAACTGTTCCTTACATCTGTTCCACGCGTGTGACTCTCTACACAACTGTTCCTTACACCACGCGTGTGACTCTCTACACAACTGTTCCTTACACCTGTTCCACGCGCGTGACTCTCTACACAACTGTTCCTTGCACCTGTTCCACGCGTGTGACTCTCTACACAACTGTTCCTTACACCACGCGCGTGACTCTCTACACAACTGTTCCTTACACCACGCGCGTGACTCTCTACACAACTGTTCCTTACACCACGCGCGTGACTCTCTACACAACTGTTCCTTACACCACGCGCGTGACTCTACACAACTGTTCCTTGCACCACGCGTGTGACTCTCTACACAACTGTTCCTTGCACCTGTTCCACGCGCGTGACTCTCCACATCTTTTCCGCACCACCGATTAGCACGGTTGGCTACGTACGGTGCGAAAGAAGCTCAACACACACACACACATAGGTTCCACGCACGCGACTCTCCAGATCCCTGCCCCACGTGCGTCAACTATACACAGCTGTTCGTTAAACCTGTCCCACGCGCGCGACTCTCTACGCCGGAGGCCTCACCTGTCCACGTCGAAGGCTCCTCGGCGGTGCTGCGCTCCTCGCACGGTCAACCCCGGACCCCCCCAGGGGGACGAGAAGGACCCCCGCTGCGAGATGTCCCCGTGCTGCAGGGACCCCGGCCGGCGACCCCCTCGCCGCTCCGAGGGGGCCGCCCGCGGTGTCACGGGGCTCCCCGGGGCCGAGTGAGTCTCGGCGCACGGCGGGGGCGGCCTCAGCAGGGACGAGGTGGACGAGGTGACGGTGGAGGACACGGGGAGGGCAGCGGCCAGGGCGGGCAGGGAGATCCGGGCAGGCGGAGGCGGCGGTGGCGGCAGCGGGCGAGGAGAATAGTCGTGGAAGGAGGGGAGCACCAGAGTGGGAGAGACAAAGGCGGCCCGGACAGGGGGCACCTCGGCCGCACCGTCGCAAGTGTCTTCAGCGCAAGGCGTGGACGCGCGGGGGCTTTCGGCGCAGGAAGGGGACCCGGGGGGTTTGGGGGAGGCGGGTGCCCTACCCCCTGGGTCACTGGCGGGGGGGCCGAGGCCGGGGTTGGCGAGGGGGTTACCGGGGTCCGGAGTCCGCGGCCCCGCGTGCTGCAACGGCGCCGGGAACGGGGGTCCGGCTCCCTTCACCGCGGGACCCCTGCATCGCTCCTCCAGCAGGACAACCTTGCGGAAACGCGGCGAGCGAGGGGGTTTGCAGGACCCCGTCGCGGGGTCGGGCCCGCACCCCTGCGAGGAGGTGGCGTCGTCCCTCCACTGCGCATCCACGAACTCCACGCAGGTCCAGCGACCCCGGCGAATCGAGGGGGTGCTCGCGGCAGCGGCGGAGTCCAGACGGACGAGGCGAAAACGGGGGCTCGGCGTGCGGCACCGCTCGGCTGGGGCGGTGGGCGAGGGGGTCCCGCGGGACCCCGCTCGCGGCGAAGGGGGTTCCCCTCCGAGGGTACCCCCGGGGCCTGCCACTAACCCCGGCTGATGCTCCACGCAGGTGATCTGAAAGCCACGGCGCCGCTTTTCCGAGGACGCGGAGTCCACGAGGGGATCCATGGGGGACCGCCCCGATTTGATTAACGAGGGATCGGGGAGTTCTACTGGAACCCCCAGCGAGGGGGTTGGTGCCTCTGGGTATCTCTCTATGGAGGACTTCCCACCCGGCGCCGTGCTGCGTCGTGTGTCTGTCCCTTCACCCCGTGAAGGGGGTGTCGCTGTGAGACCCCCGCTAAAAGGGGGTCCCCTCCTACCTCGGCTATTTGTAGAGCGATCCACGCCCACTTTTGGCCGAGGCGAGGGGTTGAGATTCGCTACCCCCCCTCCCCCCTGCTCCCCCGAGAGTCCCAGGTCGATGGAACGCGGTTCACGGAACGTCATTACGGCCATCATCACCCCTCAATCTCTGCGATATGAATATCATCATCATTAGCAGCAACACCATCATCATCTCAAGATCATCACAAGCCCTCATCTTCACTCCATCATCACGCAAAACCATCACCGCCAATTATCTCAATCCATGATTACCATCAGAATAAATAATTAACGCGACGCTGCCCAAAACACCATCAGCACCCACCATTACACACATCATCATCATCAACCCACACAATCTCCATCCTCCTTCCAAACACCATCAGCAAAAACCCCACCAGCACACACCATCATCAGCACCCGCCCTCCTCCTCCTCCTCCCCCCCCCACACCATCACACACCACCACCACCATCAAGCACCGTGACTCGCAGTTCGCCGCGTCACGGCCCTGACTTTGTCGCGACTTTGAGGCCGCGTCCCCAAGCGAGTGAGAGCCGGCAGAAACGGCAGCCACAGCCAGAGCACGGGGGAGGGGGCAGGGGTCGAAGGGGGGCGGGTGGGGGGGGGGGGTGATAAGGGGGTAAAGAGTTCTCTCGGAAAGAGGGGTCCATGTTGGGGACACGAGGAACCTCCGCTACCCCCTCCCTCCCTGCCCCACTCAGGGGTTCATCACAGCAGCCGGTGACCCCTGTGATTGACCCCCCCCTCCCCCGGCTCACTCCCGGCCGCATCACCTCGCACCATCCGCCCTGACCACGACTACCCTCCTCACCCTCTCCTCCCCTGCCCACTCCACCACCCTCCACTGTCCCTATCTGGGCCCCTCTCCCTCCCACTCCTTTTTCCTCCTCTGCCTACCTTCCTCCCCTACTGTTCACTCACCTCCCTCCTCTTGCACCTCCCCCACCTCTCCTCTCTCCCCTGCTCCCTTCAATCCCCTCTGACTCGCCTATCTCCCTCCCGTGCCCACTGCTCCCTCCCTGCCTCCACCCCCCAACTCTTCCCTCGCCCCCCCCCCATCTCTTGCATTCCCCGCTCGGCGTTCCCGTATCGCAATGGCGCGGTGCCCGGCTGGAGTGATGATTAAGTGTCAGTGGAAAGACAGCGGCCAGCTCAACGCGAAAGTCACGCGGGGCTCGAAGTCGATCGAGACTAAAGTGGACGAGCAACCGAACTCGCATTCAACTCGCTCTCACGCAGTCGTTCGCAAAAAACAACAACAAAAAATGCATGCAACTCACAGCTGAAGTCACTCGGCAACTAAACTCGCATTCAATTCAGAATGCGAGTTTAGTTACTTGCAACTGAAGCGACATGCAACTGTGCCACTCTCAACTCGTCACTCGCAAATAAACTCACATGCAACTAAAGTCGCCGGCAAACTAACTCAACTCGCACTCAACTTATCCGACACACGACCCACTGCTGTAGCAACACGTTACACCAACAGAAGCTCAACACGGCATGAACAACACCCCAATGCAACTTACAAACATCACGACACTCCAACAATATCCCACACTTCACACCCATCACCACACTACAGCCAAGTCAGATTTTTTTCCCTCGATAGTTTCCGCAACGCTGCTAACCTGGCTGGCTTAAAAGCAATCGATTATCGGCGTAAGGCACTTACACTCGAATAAAAACCGTACAAGTTATGCCTATTTACAAGTTACCCTCCAATATTGAATGGTTGTTGTTGTACCCTATACATACACACACAGCACCGCAGTTCCGTTCAAGAGGCTAACGTGAGGATGTTGATAAAATATGCGTGTCAAAATCATTCCAAAAATAAGAATTCTGGACAGTTCTGGCTGCAACCGACCGCACCGTGGTACACAACGACACTGGGAGTCTCATTTCAACCGGAGCTGTCCGGGGCTGAACTTTGAAATATTTCGCCCCCCTCCACCCAGCCCCAAAGACAAAGATCCTCCATATAGCCTTAACGGACTATTGGGGCAAGTGCTGTTCGCGAGCACCTACGAAGGCCGGCACCACGCCCAATCACCTTTGTCTCCCCAGTGGCGATGTTTACACATCACACCAGGTACTCATTGAGGCTCAGTCGACCTAGGGGAGGCCCAGTTCATATAATCGTCACTGGTGTAGGCGGCGATAAAGATCCCCCGTATAGCCTGTAACAGACTGTTGGGGCAAGTACTGTTCACGAGCACCCATAAAGGTCGGCACACACCCACACACACCTACACTGGGGGCCTAATTTCAAACAGAGCTGTCCGGGGCTGAAATCTGAAATATTTCTACCCTCTCCACACACACACACGCTGTTGGGTGGGGGCGGGGCAACTGGTCCCCCGTGAAATATTGCGTGAGCAATTAAGGCCACATCTGTGCAACACAACACCTACACTACACCTACACTACATCTACACGTCCACAACACTACAACACTACACCTCTATCGCTACTCAGCAAGCCAAGACGCCCACACCCCATCTACACAACACCCCATCTACACAACACCACACCTCCACCGCTCCGCTCACCAAGCCAAGACGCCCACACACCGTCGTGCACCCGCTCAAACGAGAGCACTCGTGCGCCAGTCTCCCGCGCCGGTCGTTTATTGAACGCGGGCGTGCGGTGAACTTCCTTCGCGCCGTACGTAGCCACCAACGGCGCTCATCGGAGGCGAGCGCGAGAAAACAGGAGCCTGCAACCGCAACGCAGGCGGCGTCGGCGGCCGAGCGTGGCCGAGACCCTGCGCCCCCCCGTGAGTAGGGGAGCAGGGCGAGCCCCCCACTAATATGGAATATTGGGGGGGGGGGGGTGGGGGTTGTTCCCAGTGGTTACCACAAGTAGTAGCAGGAGTCAGGTGACGTAGTCGAACGGTAGCGTGTTCGCCGCGTGCGGTGAATGTTCGTGGTTCAAGCCCCGTTGGCCGTCCTGGTTAATAATGCGGCGTGACGTGGCCGCCGTGCGCGTTGAGAGTGGACGTTAAAGATCCCGTGAGGTCATTCAGAAGAGCCTAGGCCGTTGTGTGCCAGTGTCACGGTGCAAATTTGGCAGATTTTGAAAATTACACCGCACGTTATGCAACCGGCTCTTTCACCCTAACGAGGTAACCACATAGCAACGTTGGCCCCCTACTGGCAGGCTATACTCGTCTGTGAAACAAAGTGCCTTCCAGATAGCCTTGAGTTTTCATGTCCATGCAGCCGTTTGTATACGGGCAAAATATTTTTTTTGTGTTTCTCCCTTGTGATGGGACTTTGTAGGATTAACGTTGAGATTTATATAAGGGTACGGGGTGACCAATAAGGTCTGAATTGGTCTGTAATCAGGTAGGCACTGATAAGGGGTTCACAAGTATGAGAATTGTGCAAAGTCCAAATTAACTAATTACCCGTTAACATTGTGAAACCACGACGATCGCAATCGACGGAGACGATACGCCGAAGTATCCGAAGGCAAATGTTCCCTCCACGGCTGCCGTGAGATCAACGGACGGAGGCGTTCGTCCCGTTCGGAGTGCGTCACAAACGCGAGCCGCTGCTCGTGTTTTCGTTGTGGAGACGAGGGACCACAGCCGCCGCAGCCTTGCGAGCGGTTCTCGGCGTCCGTCCGTCCGGCGATTTCCGCCAGTATCCGCCGGCTTCACTTGCGACCTTCCACCATGATGATGTGGTATCCGAACTTGGTTTTGACGGGAGGGTCGGTGTACACCGGGCTGGCCAGGGAGCTCACGGGCAACGCAAAGGCCGCTTCCTGAAAAGGCCCCACCATGGAACCTCGCACCATCCAGCCGAGGTCGCCCTGGGAGGAACGGGGCAGGGGTGGGGGAGGGGGTTGGGGGCGGCCGAGCGTGAGAGAGGAGGGAGAGGGCGATGTTCGCAACACGTAATTCCGCCGCGTTCCCACGACAACCGTAACACGGACTGGAGCAACACACCGGGCCTAGGAAGGCTATTCTCATCTGCAAAACATTGCGATTTCAACTCAAAAACGCTTCACAACGCCTCGCGTTAAACTTAAAATAACATTGCGTTAAAAACCTGACAAAACGTCTGTGCAAATACAATAAACTAAATCCTAAAAACAAAGCCTCTACATTAATACATCAAACGATTTCACACCATTGGATTAACTCGCACAGCCCCATCGCGACAGCTTCGCACGGATTATGAACGTACTCAATATTTTTTTGTTACCGTTGATTAAAAACCACACCGTGACGTACGAACGAGGCCGGTGACGATCAAATCCTGGCCACACCTCGCAGCGCTCCACCTGGCACGGCCCTGCTGTGGCTCAGGTGCAAGGCAATCCAGCCGTGGCCAATCCACCAAGCCTCCATCCTGGTGGAGCTCAATAGGCTCTGCTATGATCCACCAGAAAGCTAGGACCAACAATTACCCGGATGGATTTAACTATGTAATGTGCTACATACGTAAAGCATTCGAGCTATCAGCAGAAGTTATGATTTTTTTTTCTTAGTCGGGGGGTTATTTACTTGCCATCAGCCGTAACGATGAATGTCGTCCGCCTATCTAAACGTTTATTCCGATTGGTCCTGAGATCCACAACAACAGTTTTGGTGATCACCCACCCGTGGATCACGACCCACGTATTGGCCACCGCTGAGTGACCCAACCCGGAACAAACCAGGCCTGAGCCTGCTGAGCCTCCGAGGTTGGACGAGACGGGGGCGCGTGTTCACGGGGTGGTTTGACGACAGGCGAGATGCGCGTCGTTGTTAGGACGAGGGGAGTGGTGGTGGGGGGGCTCATTCTGGGGGGGCCCTGTGAGGCTGGGTGGGGGGGGGGGGCACGCACTCCTTGGCGAGCCTTGTCCTCGCTGAAGTTAGTCGCCACCTCGTTAAACCGGACGCCGCTCTTTAGCTTCTCCATCGCCTCCATCACCTTGCCGTGCTTCTCGCACAGGATGTGGCGCACCTTGTCCAGGGGAAACAAACGCACGGACAATTAACCATGCAGGCGATGTCAAACATACTCATGATGATGACATTTATGACGCGCCAGATTCTGCAGACAAGTCAGCAACTCGGAGGCGCGCAAGCCAAGCTCAGGGCTGCTCGAAAGCCTCACCATGCAGATGTGGAAGGGCCTTTAGATGTCTCTTAACAGCCAGAGTGCATGTGATGTTGCGGATGTGCAAAGGGATAGAGTTCCACATTGATGGGGCGACAGCACCGAGCCGACGTGAGGCTGTAACAGTTCGAGACCTCGGTGCCCGAAGCAGATTTTGAGTGACGCTGCTGCTGCTGCGTAGGGTTCTACCGCGAGAGCCTTCAGTGCAGGCGAGAGTAGTGAGGCGAGGTCTGGTGGGGGAAACGGTGTTGAAGGCGCAAGCGATTTTATTATTTGTCCTGCTGGCGAAAGGGAGCCAATGAAGAGTACGTAGACGGTGGACACCGAGGTTGTTCTGTAACCGTTACAATTTGAGGATGTTGCTTGACAATGATTTGGAGAGAATGGCATTAGAGTAGTCGAGGCGAGACCCGACTCTACTGCAGGCGAGGGTGTTGGTAATATCGATGGCAATGAGTGGACGTAGGTGACGAAGAGCCTTGCGTTGATAGTGGCAAGTTTTGATGATGTCGCTGACGTGAATGTCCAGAGGCAAGGTGGAAGAATCCAGAGTGACACCAAGGCATGTGATGCGGCCTGTAAAGGGAATGGTGGTGCCGGTAATCGTGATGTTGTGGGGAAGAGAGGGTAATATGAGCCGTTGTCGGGTGCCGTTGGCTCCCGTTGTCGGGAGCCGTTGTCGGCCTGTAAAGGGAATGGTGGTGCCGGTAATCGTGATGTTGTGGGGAAGAGAGGGTAATATGAGCCGTTGTCGGGTGCCAATAAGTATGGCTTCAGATTTTGGCTGCATTTTAAGAGAGATAATGTGACCTTAACCAGTGCTGCAAGGCTGACGGGTACTCAGAGAGATTTTCAATTCCTTGAGCATTAGCGGGGTTTATTGACGTGTATAATAAAATGTCTTCAGCATAGAAGTGGTATTTAATTCCGAAGCTATTAATAAGTCGGCCGATGGAGGATGTGTAGATAACAAACAATCTTGGTCCAAGCACAGAGCGCTGGGGGACTCTGAACGAGTGTGAAGTGATAGTGGATGTGGATTTGCCCATTTTAACAGAGGTCCTCCCGGCCAAATAGGATTGATATCCATTTTAGGTAAAATTCTCTGATTTCTAAGTCGGACTCAAGAAGACTAGTAAGCGATAGGTGATTAACAGTATCAAAAGCCGATGAAATATCCAGACCGAAGAGAGTCGTGATTGCACCGGAGTAGACGATTGAAATAACAGTCTCCGTGGAGTAAGTCTGACAGTAGTCAGATTGATAGGCACAACATTTGGGGAAGAGGTAATGCGAGTCTTACGCTCAACGAGAGCGAGATGCTCGAGGAGTTTAGAGAAATGGTGGAGAGGTTAGTAATCGGCCGGTAACTGGCAGGATTATCAGTGTCTAGTTTGGATTTCTTAAGACGCGGCGGTGAAACTTGGCCTATGTTGAAAGACGGTGGGAAACACCCGGCTGAAAATGAAGCGTTGGCGACGGTGCGCATTCGCAGTAGCGAGTTGCGTGGAGCATTTTTGTTTAAAGAGGGGCCCAGGAAGGATGTCGAGAGGTGAAGGCTGAATGTAAAGTGACCGAATGAAAGCAAGAACGTCATTCCGTGGCAGAGGAGAGAATATCGACAAGCGAGGGGAGCATGAGAAATAGGAGCTGGGAAACCGAAATAATTCGAGTAGGAATTCCAAGAAGCAGCAATGCAGCTAATAATCAGTGCCAGTCTGTGTGTAAAATAAGTGCTGAACGAAGTGGCGAGTGTAAATGCTGCAAGTGACTCACTCAAGAGCAGGAACCAAATTTCTGCCTGGGTGGAGGTCATTTAGACTTTTCCAGAGGTGTTCAGGATTGTCAGAAGCAGCTGCTATGCGTGATTTGATATAGGCAGACCGTGAGGCAAAGATCCCTTTATTATTATTCAGCTTTGCCGGCGACTCTGGAATGCCCACGGTCAGTGTCGAGTCCACTACGGGAAAGGATTCCGCTCCCAACGTCGCCTGCGCCGCTTGTCGCTTCTGCGGTTAGCCGAAGTCCATCGTGGTAAGACGCGCGCTTGATGCGAGATTTATAACGGAGCGAGTTTTACTTCCAGCTGGTGGGCACAGACGGCATGTTCAGAGGACGGTGAGATAAGTGGAGGGTGAGAGTGGGTGCCGGATAGCGGAGGAACGTATGCCTTGGGAGGAACGTACAGGAGGAGCGAGTCGTTTTGATAGCGCGTGGCATGAGACTTTCTAATGAGGTGAGAATGAGATGGCGTTCTGAAAAAAAACTAACTTGGACCGACCGATGGATATGCGACGGTCGGTGTCAGGCTCGATGACCAGATCAAGTGTACTCAGAACTGCTGATGAGCATACCTCGTGTTGCGCCAACAAGATCCCCCCCCTCCCCACCGTATAGCCCCTTCACAGACTTTTTGGTGCAAAGCGCCGTTAAGCGAGCAGCTGCGCCGGTGTGGCAGGCTGCCACGCTCGGCCGCCTTTGTCTTCCCAGTACCGACGATTACACACTCCACCAGGCACGGCGCTCGACCTCAGGGGAGCCCCAGACGCACAGGGGCCGTGGCGTGTTACCTTGACGGATGTGCCGCCTCCCTTGGGCACGGAGCCCTTCTTGCCTCCACCGCTCTCCCCGTCTCCATCAGCTGCCGCGCCACCCCCTGTGCAACAAAGACAAAGATCCCCCGTATAGCCTCAACAGACTGTAGGGGCAAGTGCTGTTAGCGAGGAGCACCTATGAAGGCCGGTGCGGCACACGAGGGGGTGGGTGGCCAGCACCACGCCCGGCCGCCTTTGTCTCCCCAGTGGCGATGTTTACACACCGCACCAGGTTACTCATTTGAGGCCGAGTCGACCTAGGGGAGGCTTCAAGACCGGTTCAGATCATCGTCACCGTGGTGGTTGGTCGTGAGCAGGAATCGAACTCGGGTTATGTAGGGTGCGAAAGAAGTTCAACAAACGCACGGCAGCATAATCATCGGCAGCAGAATTCCCATCATCAGCAATGTCATCAGGAAACTAACCACCATCATCATTTGCGTTACCAACAGCAGCAGAATCATCACCATTTTTATAATGACCATTTTACGACCACTGCATACATCACCATCACTTATTCACGCATCACCACAATCACCACTTCATACATCACCACAATCACCACTTCATACATCACCACCATCGCTTCACACATCACCACAACCACCACTTCACACACCACCATCACTTCTTCATACATCACCACAATCACCATTTCATACATCACCACCATCGCTTCACACATCACCATCACTTCTTCATACATCACCATCACTTCTTCACACATCACCATCACTTCTTCACACATCACCACTTCACACACAGTTAACATCACCACCACCACTTCACACATCACCATCACTTCTTCACACATCACCACTTCACACACACAGTTAACACCACCACCACCACTTCACACATCACCACCATCACTTCTTCACACATCACCACTTCACACACAGTTAACATCACCACCACCACTTCACACATCACCATCACTTCTTCAAACATCACCATCACCACTTCTTCACACATCACCACTTCACACACACAGTTAACATCACCACCACCACTTCACACATCACCACCATCACTTCTTCACACATCACCACTTCACACACACAGTTCACATCACCATCACCACTTCACACATCACCACCATCACTTCTTCACACATCACCATCACTTCTTCAAACATCACCACTTCACACACACAGTTCACATCACCACCACCACTTCACACATCACCACCATCACTTCTTCACACATCACCACTTCACACACACAGTTAACATCACCACCACCACTTCACACATCACCATCACTTCTTCACACATCACCACTTCACACACACAGTTCACATCACCACCACCACTTCACACATCACCACCATCACTTCTTCACACATCACCACTTCACACACACAGTTAACATCACCACCACCACTTCACACATCACCATCACTTCTTCACACATCACCATCACTTCTTCACACATCACCACTTCACACACACAGTTCACATCACCGCCACCACTTCACACATCACCACCATCACTTCTTCACACATCACCACTTCACACACACAGTTAACACCACCACCACCACTTCACACATCACCATCACTTCTTCACACATCACCACTTCACACACACAGTTCACATCACCACCACCACTTCACACATCACCACCATCACTTCTTCACACATCACCACTTCACACACACAGTTAACATCACCACCACCACTTCACACATCACCATCACTTCTTCACACATCACCATCACTTCTTCACACATCACCACTTCACACACACAGTTCACATCACCGCCACCACTTCACACATCACCACCATCACTTCTTCACACATCACCACTTCACACACACAGTTAACACCACCACCACCACTTCACACATCACCATCACTTCTTCACACATCACCACTTCACACACACAGTTCACATCACCACCACCACTTCACACATCACCACCATCACTTCTTCACACATCACCACTTCACACACACAGTTAACATCACCACCACCACTTCACACATCACCACCATCACTTCTTCACACATCACCACTTCACACACACAGTTCACATCACCACCACCACTTCACACATCACCATCACTTCTTCACACATCACCATCACCACTTCTTCACACATCACCACTTCACACACACAGTTCACATCACCATCACCACTTCACACATCACCACCATCACTTCTTCACACATCACCATCACTTCTTCACACATCACCACTTCACACACACAGTTAACATCACCACCACCACTTCACACATCACCATCACTTCTTCACACATCACCACTTCACACACACAGTTCACATCACCACCACCACTTCACACATCACCACCATCACTTCTTCACACATCACCACTTCACACACACAGTTAACATCACCACCACCACTTCACACATCACCATCACTTCTTCACACATCACCATCACTTCTTCACACATCACCACTTCACACACACAGTTCACATCACCGCCACCACTTCACACATCACCACCATCACTTCTTCACACATCACCACTTCACACACACAGTTAACACCACCACCACCACTTCACACATCACCATCACTTCTTCACACATCACCACTTCACACACACAGTTCACATCACCACCACCACTTCACACATCACCACCATCACTTCTTCACACATCACCACTTCACACACACAGTTAACACCACCACCACCACTTCACACATCACCATCACTTCTTCACACATCACCACTTCACACACACAGTTCACATCACCACCACCACTTCACACATCACCATCACTTCTTCACACATCACCATCACCACTTCTTCACACATCACCACTTCACACACACAGTTCACATCACCATCACCACTTCACACATCACCACCATCACTTCTTCACACATCACCATCACTTCTTCAAACATCACCACTTCACACACACAGTTAACATCACCACCACCACTTCACACATCACCATCACTTCTTCACACATCACCACTTCACACACACAGTTAACATCACCACCACCACTTCACACATCACCACCATCACTTCTTCACACATCACCACTTCACACACACAGTTCACATCACCACCACCACTTCACACATCACCATCACTTCTTCACACATCACCACTTCACACACACAGTTAACATCACCACCACCACTTCACACATCACCATCACTTCTTCACACATCACCACTTCACACACACAGTTAACATCACCACCACCACTTCACACATCACCATCACTTCTTCACACATCACCATCACTTCTTCACACATCACCACTTCACACACACAGTTCACATCACCGCCACCACTTCACACATCACCACCATCACTTCTTCACACATCACCACTTCACACACACAGTTAACACCACCACCACCACTTCACACATCACCATCACTTCTTCACACATCACCACTTCACACACACAGTTCACATCACCACCACCACTTCACACATCACCACCATCACTTCTTCACACATCACCACTTCACACACACAGTTAACATCACCACCACCACTTCACACATCACCACCATCACTTCTTCACACATCACCACTTCACACACACAGTTCACATCACCACCACCACTTCACACATCACCATCACTTCTTCACACATCACCATCACCACTTCTTCACACATCACCACTTCACACACACAGTTCACATCACCATCACCACTTCACACATCACCACCATCACTTCTTCACACATCACCATCACTTCTTCAAACATCACCACTTCACACACACAGTTAACATCACCACCACCACTTCACACATCACCATCACTTCTTCACACATCACCACTTCACACACACAGTTAACATCACCACCACCACTTCACACATCACCACCATCACTTCTTCACACATCACCACTTCACACACACAGTTCACATCACCACCACCACTTCACACATCACCATCACTTCTTCACACATCACCACTTCACACACACAGTTAACATCACCACCACCACTTCACACATCACCATCACTTCTTCACACATCACCACTTCACACACACAGTTAACATCACCACCACCACTTCACACATCACCATCACTTCTTCACACATCACCATCACTTCTTCACACATCACCACTTCACACACACAGTTCACATCACCGCCACCACTTCACACATCACCACCATCACTTCTTCACACATCACCACTTCACACACACAGTTAACACCACCACCACCACTTCACACATCACCATCACTTCTTCACACATCACCACTTCACACACACAGTTCACATCACCACCACCACTTCACACATCACCACCATCACTTCTTCACACATCACCACTTCACACACACAGTTAACATCACCACCACCACTTCACACATCACCACCATCACTTCTTCACACATCACCACTTCACACACACAGTTCACATCACCACCACCACTTCACACATCACCATCACTTCTTCACACATCACCATCACCACTTCTTCACACATCACCACTTCACACACACAGTTCACATCACCATCACCACTTCACACATCACCACCATCACTTCTTCACACATCACCACTTCACACACACAGTTAACATCACCACCACCACTTCACACATCACCATCACTTCTTCACACATCACCACTTCACACACACAGTTCACATCACCACCACCACTTCACACATCACCACCATCACTTCTTCACACATCACCACTTCACACACACAGTTAACATCACCACCACCACTTCACACATCACCATCACTTCTTCACACATCACCATCACTTCTTCACACATCACCACTTCACACACACAGTTCACATCACCGCCACCACTTCACACATCACCACCATCACTTCTTCACACATCACCACTTCACACACACAGTTAACACCACCACCACCACTTCACACATCACCACCATCACTTCTTCACACATCACCACTTCACACACACAGTTAACATCACCACCACCACTTCACACATCACCATCACTTCTTCACACATCACCATCACTTCTTCACACATCACCACTTCACACACACAGTTCACATCACCACCACCACTTCACACATCACCACCATCACTTCTTCACACATCACCACTTCACACACACAGTTAACACCACCACCACTTCACACATCACCATCACTTCTTCACACATCACCACTTCACACACACAGTTCACATCACCACCACCACTTCACACATCACCATCACTTCTTCACACATCACCATCACCACTTCTTCACACATCACCACTTCACACACACAGTTCACATCACCATCACCACTTCACACATCACCACCATCACTTCTTCACACATCACCATCACTTCTTCAAACATCACCACTTCACACACACAGTTAACATCACCACCACCACTTCACACATCACCATCACTTCTTCACACATCACCACTTCACACACACAGTTAACATCACCACCACCACTTCACACATCACCACCATCACTTCTTCACACATCACCACTTCACACACACAGTTAACATCACCACCACCACTTCACACATCACCACCATCACTTCTTCACACATCACCATCACTTCTTCACACATCACCACTTCACACACACAGTTAACATCACCACCACCACTTCACACATCACCATCACTTCTTCAAACATCACCACTTCACACATCACCACCATCACTTCTTCACACATCACCATCACTTCTTCACACATCACCACTTCACACACACAGTTCACATCACCACCACCACTTCACACATCACCATCACTTCTTCACACATCACCATCACCACTTCTTCACACATCACCACTTCACACACACAGTTCACATCACCATCACCACTTCACACATCACCACCATCACTTCTTCACACATCACCATCACTTCTTCAAACATCACCACTTCACACACACAGTTAACATCACCACCACCACTTCACACATCACCATCACTTCTTCACACATCACCACTTCACACACACAGTTAACATCACCACCACCACTTCACACATCACCACCATCACTTCTTCACACATCACCACTTCACACACACAGTTAACACCACCACCACCACTTCACACATCACCATCACTTCTTCAAACATCACCACTTCACACACACAGTTAACACCACCACCACCACTTCACACATCACCACCATCACTTCTTCACACATCACCACTTCACACACACAGTTAACACCACCACCACCACTTCACACATCACCACCATCACTTCTTCACACATCACCACTTCACACACACAGTCAACATCACCACCACCACTTCACACATCACCACCATCACTTCTTCACACATCACCACTTCACACACACAGTTAACACCACCACCACCACCACTTCACACATCACCATCACTTCTTCACACATCACCACTTCACACACACAGTTAACATCACCACCACCACTTCACACATCACCATCACTTCTTCACACATCACCACTTCACACACACAGTTAACATCACCACCACCACTTCACACATCACCATCACTTCTTCACACATCACCACTTCACACACACAGTTAACATCACCACCACCACTTCACACATCACCATCACTTCTTCACACATCACCACTTCACACACACAGTTCACATCACCACCACCACCCGCACCTTTGCTCGCCCCCTTGCCGCCTCCCTTCGCTTTAGGCCCCATCTCTTCGGCGGGGGGTGGGGATATGCGAGGAGAGGAGAAAGGGGGGCCCTTGCGAGGAGAAAGGGGGGCCTTGCGAGGAGAAAGGGGGGCCCTTGCGGAGACCCTGCGGGGTAGCCGAGACCCAGGCAAGAAGAAGGCGGAGGAGGGGGGACCCCACCACTCCCAGTGATCTCAATGACGCGTGCCCTCGTTACATTGAAGCCGGCGCGGCCATCTTGGGTAGGGGGGTAATGGTGGTGGAGGCACCTCGCCCACTCCACTCGCCCCGACTGCGCATGCGCAATGGACGGTGGTGGTGGGAGGGGGTCCCTTAGCAAGATGGCCGCGCGGGATTCACGCAGAGCAGCCACCTCGTAGCAGCCGTATCGTGGTCGAGGGGTTCCTGGTGCTGTGAGCGGGGTCCTGGTGCTGTGAGTGGGGTCCTGGCGGTGTGAGCGGGGTCCTGGTGCTGTGAGCGGGGTCCTGGTGCTGTGAGCGGGGTCCTGGTGCTGTGAGCGGGGTCCTGGTGCTGTGAGCGGGGTCCTGGTGCTGTGAGCGGGGTCCTGGTGCTGTGAGCGGGGTCCTGGTGCTGTGAGCGGGGTCCTGGTGGTGCGAGCGGGGTCCTTGTGCTGCGAGCGGGGTCCTGGTGGTGCGAGCGGGGTCCTGGTGCTGTGAGCGGGGTCCTGGTGCTGTGAGCGGGGTCCTGGTGGTGCGAGCGGGGTCCTTGTGCTGCGAGCGGGGTCCTGGTGGTGCGAGCGGGGTCCTGGTGCTGCGATCGGGGTCCTGGTGCTGCGATCGGGGTCCTGGTGCTGCGATCGGGGTCCTGGCGGTGTGAGCGGGGTCCTGGTAGTGCGAGCGGGGTCCTGGTGCTGTGAGCGGGGTCCTGGTGGTGCGAGCGGGGTCCTTGTGCTGCGAGCGGGGTCCTGGTGGTGCGAGCGGGGTCCTGGTGCTGCGATCGGGGTCCTGGTGCTGCGATCGGGGTCCTGGTGCTGCGATCGGGGTCCTGGCGGTGTGAGCGGGGTCCTGGCGGTGTGAGCGGGGTCCTGGTGCTGTGAAACGGCGACCCCTGCGCGAGACCCCGGTTTGGAACCGTTAGACATGTCGAGGAGACGCGGAGGGGACGAGAAGGGGTCCAAGATCCCGTCCAGTGAGTCCCCCCTCCCCCGCCTAATCCCCTTTCTCCGAGTGATCCCCCTAAACCAGTAGGTCCTTAACCTTCACTGCAGCCTTTGCAACTCCCTCTTTTGGTTCTCAGTAGTTAACAACTTTAAGAGCGTTAATAGATACACAGGGGTTTGATGAAACAAAGTAAGTTGTTACTTAACTTGTGTTTTCGATTGAACGCCTAAAAATATAACCTGGCCGCGTCTCGCTACCCCCAGAAAGGGCACCTCGCACCCTCCAGGGATCTGGTGGTGGTGGTGCATGCACCCCAGCAGGTTAAGAATAAGAAGAACCACTGCCCCCCCCCTTAGACCCTGTAGCCGGAGCTCAATTTCTCCCAGAATTAGTTTCCCACCCCCCCACGGCTCGCTGGTAGACGACAGAGCGAGGGGCATCAGCAGTCCGAGCCACGGCGAGGAGATGTCTTCAGCATTCTGTGTGCGGGGGCATCGGGACACATTTCCATAGCTGTCAAACCGTACGGTTTACTCAGTATTCCTGCGTTGCGCGTGCCTAAATTTTTTTTATTTAAAGCTTTCGTGACTGCAGGGATTCATGTTCTTGGTTCTTTCGGTAAAGTCACCACGTAGAAGGGAAGCAATAGAATAATAAAAATATAAAACAATAAAATTCTCACGACGTTTCGACTGCAACACAAGCAATCGTCATCAGGTGTGAAAACCACAGCAAGAAAGTTTGAAAAAAGTGGCGTTTTTTTAACGTTAGCAACCACGGAGAGCGATTTGGCAGTTATTCTTGATGTGGTTTTCACACCTGATGATGATTGCTTGTGTTGCAGTCGAAACGTCGTGAGAATTTTATTGTTTTATATTTTTATTATTTTATTTTTTCCCTTCTACGTGACTTTACCGAAAGAACCAAGAATATTGTGCGTGCCTGTTTCATTTTGCCGGTCATCCAAGTCGGTTTACCCACAACGCCTGCAACGGATAAGGGCCCATTGCCCGAAACGTCGATGGTTAATACTGTAGATCTCTCTCGGTGTTCTTAACCGCCGTGTTGAGTTGCGATGATGTTAGTTGGGTGCCACTGGCTACGTAGCAGCAGCATCACCACCAATTCCTTTGTTTCACCAAAGCTGTCAACCCACACGGTTTATCACCCCTGAATTCTTGTACGGGAAAATTGCTGTGGTTTTCCCACCTGATTATGATTGCTTGTGTTGCAATCGAAACGTCGTGATGTATTTTATTTTCTACCTACGTGACTTTACCGAAAGAACCAAAGAGTATGGACTCCTGCAGTCACGAAAGCTTCAAATCAAGAGGGAAATTGAGTTTTCAGGTCCATACGGCGTTTCAATACGGGCAAAATTTGTTTGTGTCTATTTGTTTGTGTTTCTCCCTTGTGATGTGACGTTGTATGATGAACGTTGAGATTTATAAGGGCACGGGGTAACCAATAAGGTCTGAATTGGTCTGTGATAAGGTAGGGCACTGATTGACAGGTTTGTAGTGGTGTGTGTACAAGTGGTGAGTGTACTAGTTGTGAGTGTACTAGTTGTGAGTGGAAAAGTGGCGAGTGTAGTGGTGAGTGTACTAGTGGTGAGTGTACTAGTGGTGATTGTCTATTTGTTTGTGTTTCTCCCTTGTGATGGGACTTTGTAGGATGAACTTTGAGATTTATAAGGGCACGGGATGACCAATAAGGTCTGTAATAAGGTAGGGCACTGACAAGGGGTTGACCGGTACGTTTTTCCCGTGTGTCGGACGCGAACTGCTCAGAGGCATGCACGGGGCAGGTAGTGGCTCAAGTGGTAAATACTCGCGTTTTGTGGAGTTTGTACATTCGATCCCCTGTGCTGTACTTATGAATGTTCCTCCAGGTCCTCTGGTTTCTTCCCATAGCTCATGAAGAAAAACCCGTGCAATATAACTGCTATTGGCCACAGCATTCCAATGCTCAAAAGTTCTAGGCATATTATGTGATTGGGATTATACGTAGCAATATTGCCCCTTTGCTTGTGATTCCTTGTAAAAGTTTTCAGTTTGGTGTTTTAACATCTTAACGCCTGTTTTGTTGCCAGAAAAAAAGGGGAAAACCTATTTTCATATTTTGGTACTGGCAAAGGAGGTCCCATGATGTAGATGCTCACCCCGAGCTCTCATTACTCTGATTGTGCGTTGTCTTTGAGCTGTACGCCTTTTGGCGTCCTCTGGTCTAACACTGTTTGAGACGAGGCTCGAAAGAAAGCCATCTCTGATGTGGACCAATCAGTTTCAAGCACAATGCCAATATTATCAGAGTATGTATTTTTTGTTTGCATTCTGACCACAGGTATTGTGGTTAATGCAGACATGATTCCTTGTAAAAGGTTTCAGATTGGTGTTTTAACACCTCAACACAGCTGTTTTATTACTCTTTGGGTCTTTCGGTAAAGTCACGTAGATAGAAAAATAATAAAATAATAAGAAATCACGAAATTTCGATCGCAACACAAGCATTCGTCTTCAAGTGAAGAAATACAGCAGGCGGACTGCTGAGGCAGGAAGAAATGTAGCCCTGTTTTGTTGCCAGAAAAAAGGGGAAAATCTATTCTCATATTTTGGTATGAGAATAGGTTTTCTTGGCAAGGACCCTCCCGAAAAAGACCCTTAAGACTCAGGCAGGCTTTCTGGCGGAAGTGAGTGCAATAATAATACAAAATAATCACAAAGTGTTTTCACTTTCTTTTGCAGGATTCCGGGTAGAACGTGGAGACAGTGACACCTCCAGCGCATCGTCCTTTGGGCCAGCCTTGCCCCCTGCATTCCGGCCGCAGCAGAAGGTGGAGGATGAGGAGGAGGAAGAAATCGGACCAGCCTTGCCCCCTGGGTTCCGACGACAGAAGGAGGATGAGGACGACGAGGAGGAGGAGGAGGAGGGGGGCATTGGGCCAGCCTTGGCCCCCGGGTTTTCTGGGCAAAGCGGCACAGCCAGTGGATCAGGGCGGTGTGTGAGCATCACACCACTACCACCAATACCGTCACACAACCATCACAATGCTATATTTCCAGCATCACAACACTCACACTGTCACACCATCATCACAGTACCACCAGGGGAGCATAATTAGATCAGTGGAGAGGGGTAAGTGAATGCGTGGAGGTGGGTAGAGTGAGGTAGGCTTGGGAGAGAGTATTTTGAAGAAAGTGATCGCGATCTTGTCACTGATGCGGGATTGAATTTGGAGGCAGTGGACCGATCGTGGTATCAAGGTAGTGTGCAGCCGTCAGCGATATTCAATGGAGCCGCTGTGTATGTTTGTGCTTGTGTGTGCAGGAGCCCAGCACGCAAGAATACTGATGACGATGATGATGGCTACTTTGGACCGGCGTTGCCACCTGGGTTTGCGCCGCGGGCATCCATCATTGGCCCCACCATACCCCCAGGTGTCACCGAGCAGGTGCGAGCACACGCGCACGTGCCACCACGACAAAACTCGCGGTCACCGCTGTTGCCCAAGAATGTCAATTCTCCAACAATGTTGCTTCAAATTAGGTTTCTTGGGTTAGATCGCGTAAAATTAAGTATCGTAAAATATCCATAATATAGGTTTTTTTGGTTATATCGCGGAAAATTTACGATCTTAAAATGTACGCGAACTAACGCAAAAAAAACTATTATGGATGACATTGGTCACGAAAGTCTGCGTGTTAAACTGATGTATGAGTTGGCACAGTAGGGAGCACAGCTGGTGCATCTGACAGTCATATCAATCAACCCATGGCACCTGGATCTGTCCCGTGACCTGCAGTCAGCGAGCCTGTGACACTTCAACTGGTCTCAAAGTGCACCTAGACTGGCATAAGCGCTGTCATGACGTCACGGCAACAAAGTGAATGTGAATGGCGGTTGTTGTTGTTGTACGTGCGTGCATGTGTTTAATGGCACCGTGGAATGTGTCTGCCCCCCTACCCTGTCTCCAGGACGACAGTGACTCGGATGGGGAGATCATAGGGCCCATGCCGGCTCAAGGCCCCATTCAGTCTCGAGTGGCCGAGGAGATTGAGCTGCGTTCGCAGCGCATGAAGGACAAGCTCCTGGGCAAGGTGAAGGTTTTAAACGTTAATCCGTCAGCTCTGTCCGTTCATCCGTCCGTCTGTCTGGAGCATGGGGGTCACGGTATCTCTCGTTTAGAAGATCCAAAATAAACAACATTTTGGTATGAAGTTGCGCTGCCGGTATAATACATACCAGAGCAGCCTGCCGGATTGAGTCCGCCAGCCGCTGCAACAAGCGGCGAACGTGGTGCCGCTGGGCCCTGTCACTACCCCAGGGATGAACGAAAGAAACCAAACTAAACTAAAACTAACAATGATGGTGATGATGATGTGTTGAATAAAACATCAGCACTGGGGAGACAAAGACGGCCGGGCGTGGCGTTGGCCACCCACCCCTCGTGTGCAGTGTTGGCTGTCATAGGTTCTCGCTAACAGCACTTGCCTCAAGAATCTTGACCAATAAAAGTGGCGGATATCTGAACCTGTCCTGGGCCTCTCCTAGTCCGACTCAGCCTTAAATGGGTACCGGGTGCGGCGCGTAAAACATGAGCACTGGGGAGACAAAAGCGGCCGGGCGTGGCGTTGGCCACCTATCCCCTCGTGCGTCATGCCATCCTTCACAGGTGCTCGCGAACAGCACTTGCCCCAACGGTCTGTGAGAGGCTACACGGGGGGGGGATCTTTGTCCCGTGTGTGTGTGCGCGTGCACGCGCGTGTGCAGACGGACGAAGGCCCCGTGGTGCGCGAGTCCTGGATGATGGAGCTGCCCGACGATGCGAAGACGTTCGGGCTGGGGCCACGCTCATTCCGTCGTAAGGCGGCGCCCGACGCCGGCGACCGCTCCGTGTGGACCGACACGCCGGCGGACCGCGAGCGCCGGGCCAGGGTGAGAGACCGCTTCGCGTGCGGCGCGGCAGCGGGAGTGCGCGCTGTTATCGCGACGCTCGTTTGCCCGGGAGAGCCAACGAACTGGTTTCATGGGGCTCACGCACTCGGGGACGGGAATTGATCCTTATAGAAATTAATGTACGACGTTGTGGGATGCTGTTGGCATGAACCTGATATAAAATTAAAGTATCATTATCAAGGTGGGACCAAGGCTTCAGGTTTTGTGGAGTGTAGAAACCGTTTTAAAGTTTACGTTGTTTCACCCGGTGAGAGCACGAGAGACCAGGCTGGTCTCATTTGCAAGGGTGACCCCTTCATGGTCCGTGTTTGTGACAGACTTTATTATTGTCAACATGTTTGTTTACCCAGAAAAGCATTACCGAGTGATTCTCAAGTCCATTTTTTAGGAGGGCGGTCCTGCCAAGTGTGCACAGTAGGGGGGGTGGGGTCACGTTGCCATGAGCCATCCCAATTGAGTAATCTGCAAGTACATTTTTCAGCATTTGGGAAATTTTGGCCAATAGCGGCTGCATTGTACGGTGCTTTCTTTACCTTTGGAAAGTAACCGGAAAACCCAGAGGAAACCAATGCAGAACTTATAAACTCCACAAAGAGAAGACTGCCGAGTCAGGGTCGAACCCAGGTTCTTATTTCGATGAGGCACGAGTGTGACCACTGTGCCATCTCCCTGCCCGCCCAGTGCTCGATGCTTTTCGTCCGATCGCGGTCATCGTTGACTCGCCCCCTTGACGAATATCGTGATATAATATCGTTCACAGTATGAAAATCGTTCACTGCTCTGCATTTATTGGCACCCACCGGTGTGTGTGTGTGTGTCGGCTTGGTGGGGGGGCTTTGTGCACTGGCTGGGGGGCCGTCTGCGATGGCGGGGGGGGGGGTGGTGGGGGGCTGTGTGCGTACAACTGCAGGAGGGGGACGCCGACAAAGCCGGTGGGAGCGGCAAGAAGAAGAGGAAGCACAAGGTGGAGAGTGAGCCCTCCGAGCAAGACCTTCAGCTGGCCGAGGCGGTGGCGGCCTACAACGTGAGCGACGCCGCACACTCTCCCCGCCCTCTCCCTCTCTCTCTCCCGCTCTCTCCCCTTCTCTCTTCCTCTCTCACTGCATTCTCTGTCTAACACTACACGCTCCTGCTAGCGCCCCGTGCTCCTTCTGACGTACCGCTCTCTCTGTCTCTCCTTCCACTCTCCCTGTTTCTGTCCAACACCCCGCTCTCCCTGTCTCTTCCTGTCACTCGCCTTCTCTCCTCGAGACTCCCTGTATCTTAAGCAGCCCACTCTCGCTGTCTCACACTCAACTCTCCTCATCTGTCCCTCCCTGTCTCTGGTCGTCGCTCCTGTCTCTCTGCCTAACTCCCTACTCTCCCTATATCACACTCAGTCTCACCCTGCAACTCCCCCCCCCCCCCACTTGTGTAAGGTATCTTGAGTTGCAGTTGCATTTAGAATCTATATAAATAGATGTTATTTTCGTTGTTGTTGTTGTTGTCACACTTTCTGTTTCACCGCTCCCCCCCCCACAATCCACAGCCCCCATCTCCGCCTAATCACTGCATCGGGGGAGTTGTGGTGCAGTGATTAGCGCACGGCGCTAAGAACCTTGGCAACACGAGTTTGAGTTCCGGCCATGTTTACCCATTCGTGGGGGAGTGATATCTGCACCTGTTCTGGGCCTCCCCTAGGTCGACTCCGCCTGTGATGATGTACCTTGTGCGGTGTGTAAACAGAAGCACTGGGGAGATCACAGCGGCTGGGCGTGTTGCTGGCCATATCACCCCCTTGTGTACCATTCTGACCTTAATAGATGTTTGCGAACGCCACTTGTCCCCTACTATTTAATCCTGTACCCAGTGGCAGGTCTTAGGCTTAGACGGCCTCCATCCTATCTGATGTTGAGCTTTCTCCACCTTCCTTCGCATCATCACACACAGCATCGTCACGGGCAGTGTCGTCAGGCCCAGCGTGGTCACGCGCGGCGTTATCACAAGCAGCATCGTCACATGCGGCATTGGAAAAACACAGCCTCGTCACCTGTAGAGTCATCATACGCAGCATCATCACCAGCATCCTTCCAGATCTTCCTTCATCAAGATATCGGCCACTGAGAACGGCCTCTTCTCGACTGTTGTAATCGGACGTCTGTCCTACCCGAACCCGCTCGAGAGAAGTCCCTCATTTAACGCTTCTCTTCTGCGCGCGGTGCACGCTCTCACTCGCAGGATGCCAATCGCGGCGTGTCGCTGATGGACCAGCACAAGCGCAAGCGTAAGTCGGGCGGGGCGGCCTCGGGCCCCCCGCCGCCGCGCCGGCCGTTCGATCGCGACGTCGACCTGCAGGGGGGCCGCGTGGACGGCAGGAAGCGGCAGGACATCATCGACAAGTCCCGGCTGCTGGGCTCGCGGTTCTCCCACGGCAACAGCCGCATGTTCCTGTGACGGCGCCTAGGGGGAGCCCCTCGCCGCGGCCGTTGCGTTCGTCGCGGCACGACGACGCGGGACGCCCGCGGGGGAAACCGCCCGTAGGTTCGCCCCATCTCCGCAGGGCCCCGGAGCGAAGAGGCCCGGTTGGGAATGCGGCGGGTGGGGCCTTGGACCGCCCTGCACGAAGGGATTGTCACGGGCATTGCAGTCAGTGGCGTAGCCTCGGTTGGTTGGCAGTGGAGGGGTGGGGGGGGGCTACGTGGTGGACAGCAGAGGGGCAGTGCGGTGAAATCCATTGCTGTACTGTGCTTCTATGCTCCCATATTCATGATGTACACCTTCACCAACACACAGACCAGCATGGTGAAGTATGGTCAAATAACCTCCCACAACCCACATGATATAGATGTACAGTTCGGATTTATAACATCAATGGGATTGCATAGGGATAAGAGCGGAGAGGTAAGAGAGTGCGTGGAGGCTAGTAGAGTGCGATGAGAGAGGTGGGAGAGTGCGTGGAGGGGAGTCGAGTGAGATGAGAGGGGAGAGGCAGGAGAGAGCGTGGAGGGGAGTAGAGTGAGATGAGAGGGGAGAGGTAATAGAGTGCGTGGAGGGGAGTAGAGTGAGATGAGAGGGGAGAGATAGGAGAGTGCGTGGAGGGGAGTAGAGTGAGATGAGAGGGGAGAGGTAGGAGAGTGCGTGGAGGGGAGTAGAGTGAGATGAGAGGGGAGAGATAGGAGAGTGCGTGGAGGGGAGTAGAGTGAGATGAGAGGGGAGAGACAGGCAGGGATTAGTCCATGCAGGATCTAGAAGACGGTGAGTGTGATATTGTAGTTGACGTGGGATTGGATTTCGGGCCAGTGGAGGGATCTGTGTGTCGGGGCGGTCTCATTTACAGGTGCGGGTTGAGAAGTGAGACAGCATTTTTTGTTACATGAATGTTTGAATAATCACTTTAGATCTGCTTTTACTCTCGACCAAGACATGTCACGTATATACTTTGGCAATAAACCATTGCTTTTTATGAACTGGTTCAGAGGATCACACGCACATGGTGGGAGCAAGCTCCCAGTTTTGTGGAGTGTGGAAGCCTCTTCATATTGGACATTTATTTTGTTTCACCAGGTGATAACTCTTCTTAAAGAGAGCCGGGATAGTCTCATTTACAAGAGTGACCCCTTCAGGGCCCATGGTGGGTGATGGACATATATTATTACCAATACATGTGTTACACAAGAAAATACTCGCCGAATCTCAAAAGAGTATTTTTTCAGGAGGGTCCTGCCTGGTTTTCACAGTAGGGGGGCGATGTCGCTGATGCGTGAATAATTTGCAGGTACGTTGTCAGCATTGGGATGTTTTTGCCCCCAATATCAGTTTACATTGTGTGGTGTCTTTTTCATTTTTTTTCTCTATGGAAGGAAACCAGAGAACCCGGAGGAAACCGATGCAGAATTTTGGGGAGAACATACAAACTCCACCCAGAAGTGGTGCCCTTTGTTGGGGATCGAACCCAGGCTGCTGCGTCTTGCCGCGATGTGCAAAGCGTCGGCGTTGGACCACCAAAATGTGGTGGCTCCAGGTCATGCTTGCGAGCGAGCTCCATCAATGGGCTTTTGTAATCGCAGGAGACACGAGCAGCTGGCGAGTTTTATTACAATTAGAGTAATTGAGAGTACAAAGGAAGATAACATGAAACACGCTATTCGCAAGGGGGCCCTGGGTTAAATCATAGCGTTTTGATTTTAAAATCGCACAGGCGAAGCCGCACATCGTAATTTATCATTAGTTTATCTTGGGTTAGATCACTGTGTTGGTATAATGCCAACTTCTTTTTTTAAATTATAACCCTCCACCACCCAACAGAGGCAATCAAAATTAAATAGTCACGTGGGAAAAATAAACTAGGGATCATTAACACAACATCTGAAGGTTGAAAAGCCAGGAATTATAATAAGAATCAAGTATTAAAGCAAATACTATATTAAATTAATCATGCACAACATGCACCCACATTAAATACACCTCAGGCCAAATTAAATACCGCACTTATTATTCTTTTGAGAAAATGTATTAACTCGAAGTGCACTAAAATTCAAAAGAGTATAATTTAGCTTTTTCAGTTTGGTTCATTCTCCGTTCTTCCACGTGTGTTGTCTACGCCGCACTGTTTGTGTTTTCTAAGATCACTTCTCTATCCCGGCGGTCATTTCGTTAACTTCTCAAAACTCCCCGTTGTTTTTTCTTTGGAACCTCGGAATGTAACCAGCGGCTCAATTTCTCACTAGAAATGTTCTGGAACTCCGGTGGGCTGGCTGGCGTCAAGTAAGGGTTATAGGCGTAAGGCACTACTACTACTACTCACTCGCACGGTATTCTCCCTTGAGAGAACGACTCGGAGGAACAGGAACCACGCGGTGAGCCGGCACCAACAATTCCCTGAGCTCTGCGTTCCTCTATACGGAGATGTCGGCCAATTAATGAGTGTTTACATGTGGGCGGAAATCAAGAGCACGCGTGGGAGGGGGAAACGCTCTATCCCACACAGATGGAACAGGTGGAGTCTCACTTTTCTTTGCTGAACCCCATTCCGGCCAGCCACGGTTACGGCTCCCCCTCGACACCCACCCACGGGGAAGGGAGTTTTCCGGCCATCTGTGTGTGATCCACCAACCCTAGCCGCTGCCTCCACAGTGCCGGACTACAGGCAGCCACGTGGAGCAGCGTAGCAGCCACCGCCGCACCGCTAAGAACCCTCGCTTCGTCGGATGGAGGGCGACGTGTCAAGATCATTCCAGGAACAGCTCTGCCGGACTGTTCTGGTTGAACATATAAGCACTGCATGTACTGCATGGGAAGCACGGTATTAATAGGATAGATGGGTGGAGGTGGTGACAGACGCAGTATGTATGCACACACGCACACACGTGTTGTAGCAGTTGCATTTAAATGATATGGATGATTTAGAATAAAAGTAATCAAAGCACAGTGAACGTGGAACCAACATTGGTCCAACGGTTAAAACCACACGCCAACTCACGTTGGCCCAACGTTGGTCCACGTGCCCACCAACGTTGGCCTAACGTTGGTCCACATGCCCACCAACGTTGGCCTAACGTTGGTCCACATGCCCACCAACGTTGGCCCAACGTTGGTGGGCGTTCGTCCAGCAGTGGATTGACCATGGCTGATGGTTGAGGATGATTGACCAATGCCGTTTTAGTTGGGGTTGCCCCAAGACCTAATTCCACCGCGATCGTTAAGCTAACAGTGGTCGTCCTACGGATAGACTCGCTCCCGCCATAGTAATGTGGAATGTCCACCACTGCCCCTCCAATGTCTCTACGTGCTCCTTTGAGAAGGAACTCGTTTTGTGACTCGCCAAGAGCTTGTTCGAATCTTCCACAGATGTGGAAAAAAACAACTTGAGAGGAATACAATTACTTTAATCGCCCCCCTATCCCCATGATGTTAGCTCAAATAAACCTCTTAACTGTAAATAAATTCTTTTTTAATTGGAATTTATTCATTACCCGTAGAACGTTCAAAACACTGGAGCGAAAACCTCTGATCTGACACCAGGCTCCACCCCTCCTTCCCTGGACTCTTCTCCCCCCGCCCCCCACCCGCCTCTACCCCCGGGCCCCTCCCCCTGGCCCCCATTCCCCCTCCCACTGGCCTCCACCCCGGGCCCCTCCCCTCCCCCTGGCCCCCATTCCCCCTCCCCCTGGCCCCCATTCCCCCTGGCCCCCATTCCCCCTCCCCCTGGCCCCATTCCCCCTCCCCCTGGCCCCCATTCCCCCTCCCCCTGGCCCCCATTCCCCCTCCCCCAGGCCCCCATTCCCCCTCCCCCTGGCCCCCATTCCCCCTCCCCCAGGCCCCCATTCCCCCTCCCCCTGGCCCCCATTCCCCCTCCCCCTGGCCCCCATTCCCCCTCCCCCTGGCCCCCATTCCCCCTCCCCCTGGCCCCCATTCCCCCTCCCCCTGGCCTCCACCCCGGGCCCCTCCCCTCTGGCACACCCCTTCCCACCCTGCCCCTCCAACCCTGCCCCACCCCCTCTCACCCTCCCTGCCGGGCCCCTCCCCCCTAGTCTCCATCCCGAGGCCCCTCACCTCTGGCACGCCCCCCCCCCCTGGGCCCCTCCCCAATCCCCCCCCTCCCACCCTCACATAGCGATGACGTAATGTCACCCCGCTCCGATTGGCTCTGCCCCGTGTCGGCAAGGCCACGTGCCTCGCCGTTGTCCAATGGGACGGAGTCGAGGGCCGCGTTCGTTGTGTTTGAATTTGCGACGTTGGGGACGCGGGGAATCGGAGCCTCTCCCCGTGTCTCTCTGTCTCTGCTTTGTCTCTCTCGCTTGTCTCTCTGTGTCTCTGTCCTCCCTCTGTCTCCCTCTGTCGTGTCTCTGTGTCTCGCTGGATAGTAGTCTCCGCGTGTCACCCTATTGCCTGAGTGAGTCGTCTTAGTGTGTGTAGCCCTGCGTGTCAGCCTCGTCGTGTCTTCATACAGTCCGTGCGTCTCCATACACGAAGACGCACGAGTCCGTCTTCGTGTATCGCCCCGTGTATGTCTCCCCCTGTATCTCTGCGTCTGTGTATCTAAGCGTATGTGTCTTTATATAGGCCTTGTATCACCGAGTCTCTCCCTGCGTCTCGGCTTACCTGTCTACCCGTGCCTCGCAGTGTCTTTGTAGAGTATCCCTGTGTCTTTCTGAATCTCTCCATAGAGTGTCAGTTTTCCACCTATGTCTCTGAGTATGTATCTGCCTCGCTGAGCCTCCCCATGTCTCCACGTGTCTCCCCTGAGTCTTAGCCTCTCAGTGTATCTCCCCCTAGAGTCCCCCGTGTCTCCCCCTAGAGTCCCCCGTGTCTCTCTCGAGTCCCCCGTGTCTCCCTCGAGTCTCCCGTGCCTCCCTCTAGAGCCCCCCGTGTCTCCCCCTGCCACCGGTAGTCTCTCAATGGACCGAGACGTGAGCGCGCTCTGCGAGAGCACGATGACTCAGGGCGCCGAGGAGACGGTGCTGAGCGACACCCCGGGTGAGACACGTGCGCGTGTGTGCGTGTGTGCGTATGTGCACGTGTGAACACTGTGTGCGCGTGTCGAATGGCTCACAGGGCTATACCAAAATAAATAAAATTGTGTGTGTGCGCGCGTTCACACACGTGTGTGTGGTGTGTACGTTCACACACGCATGTGCGTGTGTGTACGTTCACACGCATGTGCGTGTGTGTACGTTCACACACGCGTGTGTGTGAGTGTACGTTCACACGCGTGTGTGTACGTTCACACGCGTGTGCGTGTGTGTACTTTCACACACGTGTGAAGGCCGGCACGGCACACGAGGGGGTTGGTGGCCAGCACCACGCATATACACACACACACAGATGTACACACACAGGTGTACACACACGTGTACGCACACACACTGTAGACTGATGGCCTTAATCTAAGTTGTCTTGTGGTTGTTGTTGTTTCACTTGCATCCCACTGGGATTTTTTGCACACAACGTTGGTGTACGGTGCTTTTTTCAGCAATATTTTGCTGTTTTTTCATGGATTTTCTGTTTGCACAGTCACACATAGTCACTTTAAGATGTTTTTCTTGTTCATGTTTTTATTTTTTTGTTTGTTGTGGTTGCACCCGATTCAAGAGCCGAATGGCTCACAGGGCTATACCAAAATAAATAAACTGAAAAAAACTGTGTACACCTGTGTGCGTGTACACCTGTGTGCGTGTACACCTGTGTGCGTGTACACCTGTGTGCGTGTACACCTGTGTGCGTGTACACCTGTGTGCGTGTACACCTGTGTGCGTGTACACCTGTGTGCGTGTACACCTGTGTGCGTGTACACCTGTGTGCGTGTACACCTGTGTGCGTGTACACCTGTGTGCGTGTACACCTGTGTGCGTGTACACCTGTGTGCGTGTACACCTGTGTGCGTGTACACCTGTGTGCGTGTACACCTGTGTGCGTGTACACCTGTGTGCGTGTACACCTGTGTGCGTGTACACCTGTGTGCGTGTACACCTGTGTGCGTGTACACCTGTGTGCGTGTACACCTGTGTGCGTGGTGCTGGCCACCCACCCCCTCGTGTGCCGTGCCGGCCTTCATAGGTGCTCGCTAACAGCACTTGCCCCTACAGTCTGTTCAGGCTGTACGGGGGATCTTTACGTGTCCACGTCTTACGCAGATCTGCCAGTCATCTCGGACGCCCCACTGCACCGAGGTCTCTGCCGTGACATTCTAGCGAGAATTTGACGCTTCACGTGGCGGGAGTGGCCTTTGATGTTGTTTGTGTGTTCACGAGTGTGTGTGTGTGACAAATTTTATGTCTGTTACAGTAGAGGTGTAGGGAATTCCAACAGGACCTACCTACATCTCTGATTTATTGACGTGTTCAGGGCCTATGGTGTACCATCGATAGGCCTGGGCTCTGGGTTGTTCTTCGTGCTTTCGGAGTCCCTGATTCTCTGCTCGCGATCATTACGGACCTTCGTGATGGTGAAACTACGTGGCCGAGAGTCGGAGCAATTCCCTGTTCACCTTGGGGTGCGACAGGGATATCCTCTGGCTCCCGCATTATTTTACATCTATTTTGACCACGTAGTTCGTGAAGCCTTCAATAGCTGTACCGGGGGAATCTCCATATGGTACAGATATAATGGGAGGCTGATCGATGCCCGGGTGCGGTCAAGGGATGGCTCCCTATTGCTCAACCACGTTATGTATGCCGATGATTTGGTGATTGTTGCTCACTCAGAGGAGGAGTTGGAGGCGCTGCTGCTGAAGCTGGAGCTTGCCACTATGTGGATGTGGGGGCCTTACCATTAGCCCCACCAAAAACTAAGCACCTGCCTGGGTATTTTGTACCATCAGACACCCCCCCCCCCCTCATCTTCCCATTGGTAATGGGGCAGTTGTGGAGCGAGTGGAGAGTTTCCCCATACCTGGGCAGTGTGCTCATGACCAGCTCCAGTTTAACAGCAGAGGTCTCACTCCGAATCAGTCGAGCGGCAATATCTTTTCATAAGTTGCGTAACGCTGTGTGGAAGCTACCTGGTCTGTCGCTCCGCACTAAGCTTCAGGTCTTCTCGGCCACGGTCATTCCCTCCCTTATCTATCCTTGCGAAACGTGGACCCCCCCCGAATGGAACTTCACCAGTTAAAAACATACAGGCTCGCCTGCCTACAATCCATCCTGGGTTTAACCAGGCTGGATTGTGTGAGGTGCTCACAAATCCTCGAAAGATCTGGACAAAGTCCCATCGGTGAGCTCCTCCGGCAGGCAAGGCTGCGTTGGCAGGGTCATGTACTCCAGCGCTGTCCTCCAGACAGTCTCGTCCCTTCACCTGATGAAGGCCGCTTGTGTTGTGGCCGAAACGTCGTGATTTTTTGTTAGTTTATTTTCACCTACGTGACTTTACCCAATAGAACCAAAGAGTATGGATCCTAGCAGTCACGAAAGCTTTAAATCTAGAATTGGGTCATGTAGCCTGCATGCCCAGCCACCGCATGCCGAAACAGCTTTTGTTCGGCCGGATCGAGGGGGCTAAGCGGGCGCGCGGCACAGGCTAGAGAAGAGATGGAGTGATGTGGTACAGGAGGACGTGGAGCTGAGTGGACTTGCCGATGACTGGTACCAGCGGGGTCAAGATCGGCCTCTGTGGAGGAGGCTCGTGAAGGACGCTACTGGGCAGTTGGAGGCAGTCGCCCTCCAACAACAACGGAGGGCAGAGGAGCGACGCTCACAACAACGAGCGGTGTGCCAGGCGGTTAAAACAGCAAGTTGACACAGTATGGGGCACAGGTGGTGCATCGGCCACGCATCTCAGTCAGTCAACCCATGGCACCTGGGTCTGTCCAGTGACCTGCCAGGGGGCATTCGACCCTTCACGTGGCCTTAGCGTGCACTTGGCCTGGCACAAAGCGCCGTGGTGACGCCACCTAGTGACGGTTGTTATGTGTGTTGTTATGTGTGTTCACAAGTGTGTGTGTGTACACGTGAACTGGTGTCTCGGTCGGGTGTGATGCTGGCCACCCATGTGCCGTGCCAGCCTTCACCGGTGCTACTCGCGAACAGCACTTTCGCCAACAGTCTGGCAAAGCTTTTTGGGGGATCTTTGTCCTGAATTTGTATCTGTGCCTTGTGTGAGTACACGTGTACCTATCTCTATGTACCTCTGTCTGTCTCTGTCGCCTTTGTGTGCCTCCTTTTGCATCTTTATACTGTACACGTGTACCTGTGTGAGCACGTGTGTCTGTGTGAGCACGTGTCTGTGTGTACACATGCACCTACACACGTGTACCCCTTTGTGTGTGTTGTATTCAACGACCACGGCTGACCGTAGCGGCAGGCGGTGATTGAACCTGCGGGTCCCGTAGGTCATTTCAGCCTTCATTGAGTACCATGGTGTATAAACATCACCAGCTGGGGAGACAAAGGCGGCCGGGCGTGGCCGCTGGCCACACCACCACCCCTCGCCGCGCCTTTCCAGGTGCTCGCTGACAGAAACCTTGGTCCAGTCTCTTGTGTGCACTCGGTGGGATCTTTGTCTGTTGTGTTGCATTTCCCAGTGAATCGGTGTTATTGCCCTTGTACTTTGCCCAAGATTATCTGAGCCACGTTTACATCAACAGAGAGTGGAATTGTTTGTGACTCTTTTTTTGGAGGGGGGGGGGAGTATTTTTAAATCGACTCTGCATATCCTTGTTACGTCCCTGCCATCTAAATATGTATTTTCTGTCACTGTTTTTGCAAGCTGTGTCAAGTGCCTTGAGTTGAAGACGCGTTATAAATACACAAATGAGATGAGATATAGCTGTCACGCCCTGAGACTGGGAGAACTCTCTTACGGAGCAGTTGCCGACCCATTCTTAAATTCCCGGAGTCGAGAGCAGAGTTTTACATTCCGGGATTTGGCGATTACTGAGCACGTATTGCGCGAAAATTCGGTTCATATCACGCGTTCAGCCTGCTAGTTGCAGAAGTTCGCGGTTCGAATATGTGTCCAGGAAAAGACTCGATGAGTCCCAAGACTTTTTTTCAGGAGTGTCCTGCTACATTGTCCAGTGCCATTGAATGAGCGTTGGACTTCATGTACGTGTGTACGTTGAGCTTCTTTCGTGCCGTACGTACCCAACCGTGCTAATTGGAGGTGCGGGGGGGGGGGGAAGGCCAACAAAGTGAATGCAAAAAAAAGCAGTTGTGAAGAAATTAGTTTGTAAATCTAGATGTAAAAGTGCATTATAGCCCCAGTGGCTTTATAATATCGGAAGGAAGAGCGTTCCAGACGGCCGCAGAAGCGCATTCATCTGGGAGGAACACGGACAACCCGGAGAAAACCAAGCACTGCCATCCCCTGGCCACATACCTAGCAGCCCTGTGCCCTGCAACACCTGGCAAGCCCTGGTGGTCACCCATCCAAACACAAACCAGCCTCAAACCTGCCGAGCTTTTGATATCGACGAGATGCAGCGGGTGTTGGGGGGGGGGGCGTCGCATTTAAGGGTGATTTGATCGCAAATGTTTTCAGGGCGTCTGTGCACAGTGTCACGATTTATCAATAAATAACAACTCATGATTAGCAGAAAATGTCAGATGACATGAAATCAATACGCAATCTCTTAGCCAAAAATAATACCGGGTTTGGTCGCTGCCGCCGCCGCCGACACCACCGCGTTCCGAAGGGGAAGCGTCTCTCTCCAGCGCCGTCATCCGGCACGTTGAGACTGACTGGTGCTCGGATGGGTGGCCACCGCCGGGGCTTGCCAGGCGTTGTAGGCGCGGGGCTGCGGAGGCGAAGCAAGGAGGTGGCGGTGTTGAGCGTTGCCTGCTCGCTCGTTGTGCCTCGTGTGGGTGTCTTCTCTCTTCTCCTGGTTGTTTTCCCCACTTCCTTCCGAGAAGATGCCAAACGCGTTGGTGGCGTGGGCACAAACGTGTCCCGGTGTAGCAGGGCAGGACCCTTCTAAAAGAGGCTTGAGACTCGCTGAGGTTTTCCTGGGCAAATAATTGACATTATTAAATGTAGTTTTTGAGAGCGCATGCTCAATCATTGGCACGATTGCGAGAAATTTCGATTTAAAGCCTTCGTGACTGCAGGGGTTGGTTCTTTCGGTCAAGGCACGTAGAAGGGAAATAATTAAAATATAACAATAAAATAAAATTCTCACGACGAGTGTGTTCATTAGGACGTTGTCTTCCCGACAGCTCTGTTCTTCACCTGAGGACGGCTGCTTGCGTTGTGGCCGAAACGTCGTGAGAATTTAATTTATTATGTTTTATTTTAATTATTTCCCTTCTATGTGACTTTACTGAAAGAACCAAGAATGCAAGTGTTTTTTTCAGATATATCTTGTTTCAAAATTAATCTTACGTTGGCTACAATTTATAAGGGCTCGGGTCTCGGAACAGAGGTGGTGGCAGTGGTTGGTGCACCATGTTATCGACCCGATGACATGAGTTTGATTCCTGATCACGGCTTTCGTTATTGGCGCATAATATATGCACGACACTGGGATTTTTGCACACAGCGTTGTAATACGGTGTTTTTTTTTTCTGAAAGATTTGCTGGTTTATCCAGGATGTTTCTGTTGCGCGTCGTCGCTTTAAGATGTTTCTCTGTTCATATTTTGTTTGTTGCGGTTGCACCCGGCTCAAGAGCCGCATGGCTCACAGGGCTATACCTAATACATGAAACTTGAAAGCACAGACAGTGTTGGGAGGTTGTGAGATTGTTGACGTGCTGTATTGTTGACGCGGTGTGTGCTACAGGCGGTGTGTAAGGTGTGGTGATGTTATCAGCGTTCTGGATCGTTGACAGGGTGTGTGCTACAGTCGGTGTGTAAGGTGTGTTGAGGTTATCGGTGTGCTGCGTCGTTGACGGGTTGTGCGCTACAGGAAGTGTGGTGAGGTTATCGGCGTGCCGGCTCATTGACCTGCTATACGCTTGACCTCAGGTGGTGTGGATAGCGTGGAGCCGCGTGTGGTGTTGGTGGGAGAGGCGGCGCACGACCAAGAGCTGATCATCGCGCTGGAGGTGATGGCACCCCGGCCCTGCTGCCCTGGCTATAGAATCGCACAGAGACCTGTAGAGTTACATGGAGACCTGAAGACTCGTACAGAGACCTGTAAGAGTTACGTGGAGACCTGAAGACTCGTACAGAGACCTGTAAGAGTTACATGGAGACCTGAAGACTCGTACGGAGACCTGTAAGCGTTACATGGAGACCTGGAGACTTGCATGGAGATCTATAGACTCATGGAGAGCTTATAGACTTAATCAGATTCACGTGGTGTCCTTGAGGATCACATTGAGACCCATAGACACCCACAGACCGTATAGAGACCCGCAGATTTACATAAGCTCGCAAAGACACCCACGGTTCACACAGAGAACCGTGGACTCAGATAGAGACCCATGAACGCGCACAGAGACACGCAGGCGCACACAGCGACTCGTCCTGCACAATGCAAAGTGACGTAATGGACAGATTGCACCTTCACAGTCTCCAGTCATGGAGATCCCCCATGCACCTCCCGCTAGTTGCCCTCAGCGCCGCTCCGGAGTGCTTCTTCACGGACGCTGTGCGTGACCGACGGCCGTAATCCTGAACCCACCCCCCCCCCACCACCCCCAGGCGATGGGGCTGCCGCTGGTGACGTGCGAGACGGGCGAGGACGTGGGGACGAGCGCCAACCCCGAGCAGGAGACGGTGGTGATCGTCGCGGAGTTCTCCGGCCCCGAGTACGAGCGGTTGCTGCCCACGGACTGCCGCATCCTGGGGCCCGCCGTGCTGCTGCGGGCGGCCCGGCGCAAAGAGGTGCGGCGTCGGCACGCCGGGGGCGGCCGGGGCGGCGGCGCTCGCGCCTTCCGGCGAGGCGCGGTGGCCTGGGTTCGATCGCCGACGTATGCCCGTTGAGCTGCTTTCGCGCCGTACGTAGCCAGCCGTGCTCACCGGAGGTGCAGCCTACTCGGCCGGCCGTGCTGCGAGGAGTTGGTTGTACACCCTCTGCGTTGCAGAATATGCGTGGGGGATGCGGAGCGCGGGGGCGGCTGAAAACGCAGCGAGCTGGCGGCGCATCTGCCGGGCGTCTCAGTCGGTCAACCCGTGGCACCCGTGTCCGGTCCGTGACCTCCTGCCGGCGAGCCTTCGACACGTCGCGTGGCCAGAAAGTGCACCTAGCCTGGCGCAAGGGCTGTGGTGACGTCTCTGCCACTTGGTGGCGAACTACGGTTGTCGTTGTTTTGTGGGGAGGTGCTTGGAGCGGTTTGGTCGGTGGTTAGCGCACGGTGCGCTACAAACGCGGCAAACCCGAGTTAGATTCCCGCTCACGGCCAACGACGGTGACGAGTATCTGAACCGGTACTGTGCCTCCCCTAAGTCGACTCGGCCTCAAATGAGTACCTGGTGCGATGTGCAAACATCGCCGCTCGGGAGACAAAAAGGCGGCCGGACGTGGTGCTGGCCACCCACCCCCTCGTGTGCCGTGCCGGCCTTCATACAGGGGCTCGTAAGCAGCACTCGCCCCAACGGTCTGTTAAAGGCTATACGGGGGCCCTTTGTCTTTGTTGCAGCCGCTGCCGTACTGCTTGCGCCCGCTGTTCTGCACGGCCATGAGCAGCCTGGTGCTCTGCTTTACCGGCTTCCGCAGCAAGGGCGAGCTGGTGAGGACCTGGGGGGGTGTGGGGGGGTGCTGAGCGAGTGCTAGTTGGGTGAGCGTGTAGGGTGAGTGTGTGTGCTTTGTGAGTGGGGGGCGGTGGTGTGGCGGTTAGCGCTACGCTTCGCTACGAACCAGGCGACCCGGGTTCGATTCCCGCTCACGGCCCGACACCGGTGACGATTATCTGAACCGGTCCTGGGCCTCCCCTAGGTCGACTGAGCCTCAAATGAGTACCTGGTGCGATGTGTAGACATTGCCGCTAGGAAGACAAAGGCGGCCGGGCGTGGTGTTGGCCACCCACCCCCTCGTGTGCCGTGCTGGCCTTTTTAGGTGCTCGCTAACAGCACTTGCCCCTACAGTCTGTTGAGGCTATACGGGGAATCTTTGTCTGTGTTGTACAGGGGGTGGCACGGCGGCTGATGGAGACGTATTTGTTTTGTGAGTGTGTGGTTGTATGGAGTGAGTGGGGAGTGTGCACCTGATGAGCGTGCGTCATTTTAATTTGGTTTCGGTTTCATAATTCGTTAAATTTTTGGTAAGGTGAGGCTTATGTTTCGATGTTGGTTGGCAAATCCTCTTGTGGAGGAGCTCGTAGCAGTGATTGGCTGCGCGGTGCCTACAGTAGTGTGTTGTTATTAAAGTATCTCGGTCTTGGTCTGGTCCACAAATGGTGAGCGTGTGTGCTGGTGAGAAGAGCGGGCATGTGTTGGGTGAGCACGCGAGCTGGTGAGCGTGTGCATAATGAGCGTATGATGTAGAGAGCTGTGGTGAGCAGGCGTGGTGAGCGAGCTGTGGTGAGCATGCGTGGTGAACGAGGCGTGGTGAGCGAGCAGTGGAGCGGGCTGTGGTGAGCGAGGCGTGGCGAGCACGCGTGGTGAACGAGGCGTGGTGGAGCGGGTTGTGGTGAGCGAGCAGTGGTGAATGAGGCGTGGTGGAGCGGACTGTGGTGAGCGAGCTGTCCCGATGCAGGTAAAGTTGGTGACCCTGGTGCACCACATGGGCGGCAGCATCCGCAAGGATTTCTCGTCCAAGGTCACCCACCTCGTGGCGAACGGCACCCACGGGGACAAGTACCGGGTGAGGGCCGCGCTATCCACAAATCCACCACGCTGAATCCAGTCTCAACCTCAACTTGTTTGAACCAGCTGTGAATTAGTTGACGAGCCTCACCAGATTGCGACGGAAGAAAATGAGAGAGACGATGAAGCAACGGCGAGGAAGCGGAATAGAAATCGGTGCAAAAACAACTGCGTCCGTCGCGCGACGAAATAAAAACGAGTGCGACGTCATGAATCGCTGTTCGCGCGATCCCGTCGTTCCTCGGAAGCTCGGCCGGCCCGAGCCTGGACGGCGTTCCCACCCCCGTCGGGCGACGGGGAATACCCCGACGGGAGTTCCCGATGGGGGTTCCCGCTCCTCGATTTGTGCGGCGGCGGCGGCCACTGGGACCGGGAGGGGGGGACGGGCAGTTGCGGATCACGGGAGTAACCGATGACAGGAGTGGCGGAAAACACGGCAGCCGTTGGTGTGGAAGGGAGTTTCTCTGCGCCTCCGTGGTGGGGTGGGGGGTTAGTGGGAGGGTGAGCGGCCGTGTTTCCGGGCCAGCCAGTATCTTTGGATTCTTTATTTATCCTGGAGAAATCCGTGCGGTGGCGCGTGTGTGGTGCGCGTGTGACACGTGGTGTGTGTGGTTTGCGTGATGCGTGTTCGTGTGGTGTGTGTCACGTGGTGTGCGTGGCGCGTCACGTGGTGTGCGTGGCATGTCACGTGGTGTGCGTGGCATGTCACGTGGTGTGCGTGGCGTGTCACGTGGTGTGCGTGGCGCGTCACGTGGTGTGCGTGGCGTGTCACGTGGTGTGCGTGGCGTGTCACGTGGTGTGCGTGGCGCGTCACGTGGTGTGCGTGGCATGTCACGTGGTGTGCGTGGCGTGTCACGTGGTGTGGTTTGCGCGCTTCGTGTGTGGCGTGTCTTGTGGTGTGTGGTGTGGCGTGCGTGGCCACACCGCGTGATCCGTGTGGTGTGCGTGGCGTGGTGTGTATGGCGTGCGGCGTGGTGTGCGCGGCGTTTGCGCAGGTGGCAGTGAGCATGGGGATCCCCATCATGCGCGAGGAGTGGATACACAAGGCATGGGACAGGAGGCTCGAGCCGTGAGTGTGGGGATGGGCGGTGACGCGGCTGGGCTGTGGTGTACGTGCAACGCCGGACAAGTGGCCACCGTTGCTGTTTGCAAAGGTCGCCACTTGTCACAGTGTGAGATAGTATTTTGATCCCATAGAATTTTGACCCTGGGATCAGCATACTATATATATACACACTCGGACTCGGTGGTGCACAGTCTATAATTGCAATATGATTTCCCCCTCCTGGGTTGGATTCCTGACTGGCGACCTTTGTGTGGATTCTGTGTTTTCTCTCCCCTTGATTCGTCTGCGTGCTTTTCCGTCGCGTCTTCCGGGTTCCTTCCTTGTTGCCAATGCAAAACAACATTAACTTGCACATTAAGCATAATAGAGGTTCTTTGGGTTAGATCGCATTAATCTATAAATGTGTCGTTAAAACCCGCCACCAACTGACACAGCCAACTAGTAAGGGTTGCCACGTAAACAGAACGTGCCAATTCGTCACTAGTACAGCACACCGGTTGTGTGTTGGAGAGCAAAGCCACAACATTTACAAACTGAGTACGACGTTTCGCCAGTAATTGCAACTAGCTTCATCAGGCGACAGACAGATTTGTGGCGAAGTCTAATTGTTTCTTTCCTTATATAGAGGCGCAGATGTGGTGACCACGCTTCTGCGCTCTTGTGCAAAGTGGGTGGGGGGATTACTGAGTCTACGTACATTATGCATGCGCATTACGCGAGCCCTTTAATCTTGGCCTTCCCGATATTGTGTGTATTAAAATACCCGTACCAACGTTATAATCTCTATTGAAGTATGGTGCCCTTTATAGACATGCATTTAAACAATGTATTATTTGAATCTTTGCTTTCACGCAGCGCTAAGGCGGTAGCTATCCAAACGGTTAAAAATAATTTCTTTCAATTTCGATAAATTCTCTAATTAGTCTTGGCCAGCAGTAGCTAGTTTTGCACAGAACTTCAACATTATCAATATCAATTGAGTGTCCTTGTTGGCACACGTGTTCTGCTACTGCTGGGAGTATTTAATATTTCTCTGATGTTCATTTAGTCTCGTGCTGATCATTCGTCCGATTTGCCCATCATAACATTTTCCACACGTGCAGTTAATTCTGTACACACCTTCTGTTGATAGCTTCGGTAATGCATCTTTTGTACCAGATATTAATTTCTGTATTTTATGTACCGTGCCAAATCTGACTTGGATGTTTTGTTTTTCCAAACATCTGGCTAGTTTATCAGTTACTACCGCAATGTATGGTATTCTGATCGTTTTAATTATTTGGGCAGTTTCAATGCTTGTGTTATTTGATTTGGTTGTGACATTCAATGCCCTGTTGATTTGTGCATCATTGTAACCGTTCATTTGCAGCGCTTGTTTAACATGTTGAATTTCACTTCTCGGTCTGTCACCATCTGACACTTTCTCAGCTCGATGAATGAGCGCCTTGATAAGAGCAGATTTCTGTGCGGGGTGATGGTGTGACTCTGCCTCTATCTTCCAGGGTCAGATTGAGGCTTCTTTTGACTCCCTCCTATACCCAAAATACTTTCTCGCGCTTACGTTGCTCACCCACATCCTCCTCCTCCTCCTCCTCCGTCCCCGTGCCCCGTGCCCGCCCCGGCAGGGAGGGCAGTGCGACGGACGAGCCGCTGCTGGCGCTGAAGATGCCGCCGTTCCACGGCTGCTCGCTCAGCTTCCTGGGCTTCTCCGCGGAGGATCAGACGCAGATGCAGGAGCTGGCGCGCATGCAGGGTGCGGTACCAGTTTTGTTTCCCACCCCACCCCACCCCGCCCACGGTTGGTTGGCAGTGTTTACGCACGAGGTCGTGGGTTCGGTCCTGGATCCTAGCGATGCCTGTTGTTGTTGTTGAGTCTCTCCCCTACCCCCCCTTCTCCAAATTTAGAAACAACATGCGCTTTAGATTGTTTGGTTGCTGCTCTAAACTCCCAGCGTGTGATGATGAACAGGTCCCTGCAGGGTGGGCTGGTAGGACAAGTCTCTGCGCTGTCTATTGCCGATTTTACACCCAACAGCACGAGATTTCACTTCGTTAAAGTATTGAAAGGGGACGGACGGACGGACACATTAATCTATTGCAGGCTGGTACACTCAGTTTACAACTTCGTTCCTACCAGTATAATGATGATATCAGACACTTCGATGAGCTATCATCACGTGTGGCCAGGCCGCCTCTGAAAAAGAGCGAATGGCTCTCCGTGGGTTTTACCTGTATTTAATAAAATAAGAACATGCCCTGTGAGAATTGTTCTTCATACTCGGCGATGAGCGAGCTGAGAAAATGAACAATCGGCGTGCCGTTGAACACTTGCGTGCCACGTGACTGCGTCCATTTGTTTGGGCGTGGTCGGGTGGTGGAGGGTTTCACCACAAAGGGCATGGGGGTCCCATCGTTACGTCGTGGCCCAACCCAGGAGTCAATGATGAATGTCGGATCATTCACGATCGCAGCCCGCTGCGTTTGATATCCGCGCTGTTGTGGTTGTTGCAAGGCCACCACAACGGGTGGCGCGTCGTTTATCGTGTGCGGCCTTCGTAGGTGCTGCACGCTAACAGCTTTCCGGGGGGGTGGGTGGTGTGGGTGGTCTTTGCGCTCAGGTGGAGAGTGTGTGGAGGTGGGGGATGAACGCAGTTCGCACCTGGTGGTGGAGGAGAACATGGTGAAGGTTTTGCCCCCAGAGATTCCATTCAAGACCTACGTCGTCAAGCAAGAGGTTTGGCAGCAAGCAGCAGCAGCAGCAGCGCCTACGGGAACACGAGCCACCCACGCCACCCTCGCCACCCACGCCACCCACGCCACCCTCGCCACCCACGCCACCCACGCCACCCTCGCCACCCTCGCCACCCACGCCACCCTCGCCACCCTCGCCACCCACGCCACCCTCTCCACCCACGCCACCCACGCCACCCACGCCACCCTCGCCACCCTCGCCACCCACGCCACCCTCGCCACCCACGCCACCCTCGCCACCCACGCCACCCACGCCACCCACGCCATCCACGCCACCCTCGCCACCCTCGCCACCCACGCCACCCTCGCCACCCACGCCACCCACGCCACCCTCGCCACCCACGCCACCCACGCCACCCGCGCCACCCGCGCCACCCGCGCCACCCGCGCCACACGCGCCACCCTCGCCACCCTCGCCACCCACGCCACCCTCGCCACCCACGCCACCCACGCCACCCTCGCCACCCACGCCACCCACGCCACCCTCGCCACCCACGCCACCCACGCCACCCACGCCACCCACGCCACCCTCGCCACCCACGCCACCCTCGCCACCCACGTCACCCACGTCACCCACGCCACCCTCGCCACCCACGCCACCCTCGCCACCCACGCCACCCACGCCACCCTCGCCACCCACGCCACCCACGCCACCCTCGCCACCCACGCCACCCACGCCACCCACGCCACCCTCGCCACCCACGCCACCCACGCCACCCACGCCACCCTCGCCACCCACGCCACCCACGCCACCCTCGCCACCCACGCCACCCTCGCCACCCACGTCACCCACGTCACCCACGCCACCCACGCCACCCTCGCCACCCACGCCACCCTCGCCACCCACGCCACCCACGCCACCCTCGCCACCCACGCCACCCACGCCACCCACGCCACCCTCGCCACCCACGTCACCCTCGCCACCCACGTCACCCTCGCCACCCACGCCACCCACGTCACCCTCGCCACCCACGCCACCCACGCCACCCACGCCACCCACGCCACCCACGCCACCCTCGCCACCCACGCCACCCACGCCACCCACGCCACCCACGTCACCCACGCCACCCACGCCACCCACGTCACCCACGTCACCCACGCCACCCACGCCACCCACGCCACCCTCGCCACCCTCGTCACCCACGTCACCCTCGCCACCCACGCCACCCACGCCACCCACGCCACCCACGCCACCCACGCCACCCACGCCACCCACGCCACCCACGTCACCCTCGCCACCCACGCCACCCACGCCACCCACGCCACCCACGCCACCCTCGCCACCCACGCCACCCACGCCACCCACGCCACCCACGTCACCCACGCCACCCACGCCCCCCACGTCACCCACGTCACCCACGCCACCCACGCCACCCACGCCACCCACGCCACCCACGCCACCCACGTCACCCACGCCACCCACGTCACCCACGCCACCCACGGCGCCGCATGGCACATTCGCTGCGCCGGGCTTGCACCATACACCGCACGCATACACCGATTATACGGTCCATATTACAACAACACCAACCACAGCCACCAATCGCCACTAAGTGGCCATGACGTCACCACGGTGCTTGTGCCAGGCTAGATGCACTTTGAGGTTATCGCGTGTAGTGTGGAAGGCCTCGTTGCTGGCAGGAGGTCACGGGATGACTTGACTGACCGAGGTGACTGGCTGATGCACCGTTTGTGCTCCCCACTATGCCAACCCAGCTAAGACAAAGATGCCCCGTGTAGCCTTAACAGATTTTTGGGGCAAGCGCTGTTAGCGAGCACCTATGAAGGCCGGAACGGCACACGAGGCGGTGGGTGGCCGGCACCACGCCCGGCCACCTTGGTCTCCTCAGTACACCGCAGCAGGTACTCATTTAAAGCTGAGTTAACCTATGGGAATCCCAGGAACGGTTCAAACGTTCACCGCCGATGTTGGCCGTGAGTGGGAATTGTAATCGGGTCGCGAGGTTTTGTAGCGCGGTGCAACCCAAAGCACACACACACACACGTACAAAAAGACAAAAATCCCTCGTATTGGCTTAACAAACTTTTGGGGCAAGTGCTGTTCACGAGCAGCACCTGTGAAGGCCGGCACGGCACACGAGGGGGTTGGGTGGTCAGCACCACACCCGGCCGCCAACACACACGTGCACACGCACACACACGCACCCATCACTCTGGTACTTGGCCGTGGCAATCACCGGGCTTCTCCCTGTGTGTACCGCGTGGCCGCAGTGGTTCTGGGGCAGCATCCAGATGGAGGCGAGGGCCGAGGAGTCCATCTACACGTTCGAGATGGTGAGTGGCAAATGTATCAAGTCTGCATTGACCACACGTACATGTGCTAATGTAATGTACGTTGACCTTTTTTCGCACAGTACGTAGCCCACCGTGCTTCTCGGAGGTGGTAAAACGTCCAAACAAATACCCTTGGATAATGTGTGCATTGTCCGTGGAACCGATTGGTCTCCAAGCCTTTGTAGACGGTGTTTGCGCGATTAAAAAAATAAGAATGGTTTTTACCCTCTCTGGCAATAGAACCGGTGTGAAGATTTTTCGATTTAAAGCTTTCGTGACTGCAAGGATTCATCTTCTTTTGGTTCTTTCGGTAAAGTCACGTAGAATGATAATAAAATAATAAATTGATAAAATAAAATAACACAATAATATTCTCATGACGTTTCGGCCACAACACAAGCGGCCTTCATCAGGTGAAGGGACGAGACTGTCTGGAGGATAGCGCTGGAGGTGTGAACCACACCCAGTACTTGTGGCGATCATGCAAACAAACACGCCCTAATAATATTCATGCGTTGTCTTTTGAAACTGATTGGCCTAGTCTCACCACAAGTACGTGTGGTTACTGCAGTACTTGATGTCTTGCACAAGGTTTATATTTGGTGTTTGAACATCTTAACACCTGTTCTATTGCCAGAAAGGGTAAAACCTATTCTTTTTTTTTCATCATTAAATTTTTTTTTTACCAGGTAAGACCCACTGAGCTATCTAGCGCTTTTTCCGAAACGATCTAGCGATCAGAGATGATAGCTCAACGAAGTGATTTATCATTATGATCACGTGGAAATATAGAGCAGCTAAATACTCTAAGCCACGTGACGTTGATTCTAAATGTGGAGTGAAAAACCAGAGGACCCGGAGAATATCTGCGCAAACACGGAGAGAGAAACGCGCAGACTCCAAATATACAGCATGTGTCCGGGTTGAGATCGGACCCACAACATCCTGTACACCGGGCGAGGTAGTCAACATCTCAGCCACCGTGGTGATGATGATGAGATAGAGACACGCAGACATTCATACTGGCAAAAAGGTCCCATTTTGTGATTTGTGCTGTGTGTGACATTCACCGTCTTGCCGGTGTCCATCGCACCGGCGTCCGGAGCGCCCGCGCCCCCCCGCTTGAACACCAGCGCGTGTCCCAGCCGCGCGCGGCGTTGGCGGCGCGCCCTCGCCAAGCTCGCGTGCTGCCGCGTCACGACCACGACGGTGCGCGCCGGCGGTGTGTGCGCGTGTGTGTGTGTGTGGCGGCCGGCAGACGGAGAGCCCCTCGCTGAAGACGTGCGTGTCCCAGATGACGCTCGGCACGCCCGTGAGCGGCCAGAAGCGGCGGCGGCGGCGCGAGGCGACGCTCGCGCAGCTGGCGCGCTCCGCGGATCGCGGCGCGTCGCCGCTCGTGCCGCCCTGCAAGCGCAAGTCCACCGAGACGTCGCTCGGCTCGCTGCTCAACATCTCCAACACGCCCGACACGCCGATGCTCGGTGGGTTCGGCGGCGGACCGCGTCGGCGGCGGCGCCGGGCGGCGGTGCCGCGGCGCCCGCGGCGTGGTACGGGGGCTCGCGGTGACGGCGCCGATGCGAGATTTTGGTCCCCGTGTCTCGTGCACGACCGCTGTAACCTGCCTGGCGGTGCGTAGGCTTCTCGTAGAACCTACCCGTGGAAGTAGACTGCAGGGCTCCCCCTGAGATTTCTGAAAGCGACCTCTGGTGCACACACGGTCGGGCACGTGCCAACTCGCTCTGCCGTACGAAGGTAATGTCCAACGCCAAATTAAGTGCATAATATATTAATATAGCGGTTTAATATCGTGGGTTATTTTTTGGTCCAGTTGTTGGTGGCAGGGCCGAGACCATCAACTCTGCAGCACTTGGCAATCCGGTTTAACCCGGGGCGGCTGAACACCGGATTTGAACCCAGAATCTCTGCGGTGCAGGCTCGCTGTTCTGATCCCTCGAGCGCTGAGCCAGCATCGCTGAGATCGATCGCTTAATCGCTGCGCCACATCACGCCCAGCGCGGCACACGCTCTGCTCGGCACGGCCAGAACGTTGCGCTGCGCTGGGCACGGCGCGTCTGGGCACGAGCGGCCGCATTCCTCGTCGCGGCCTGGCTCAAACGCAACCCCACATGCGCGTCGAGTGAGCGGCTCGGCCGTGGCTCAGCACGGGCTCGGCTCGAGCTCGGCTCGCACACGGCTGGGACCGTGGCTCAGAGCCCGGCTCGGGTGAGGCACGGCTTTGTGCTGGCGCGGTTGAGCCAGAGCCAAACCTGAGCCTGAGCTCCCATGACTGAGCATTCGGGGCCGAAGCAGATTGGTACCGCTCTGTGAAACGTTGTTGTCGCCACGTGTGTGTGTGTGTGTGCGCGCGCGAGGCGTGCGTGCACGTGCGCGTGCGTGCATGCGTGTGTTCCCTCCGGCAGGTGTGAGTGGTAGCACAGGCCCGGTAGCAGAAGACAGGAGCTGGCAGGAAGGCGTAGAAGGTCGCAGGTGTGCCCTGCGCCCCCTCGGAGGCAAGAGGAACCCCTGGACCACCCCTCTCGGCGGCAAGAGGGCCAGGGGCAGGAGAGGCAGCGCAGGGACGAGCGAGAAGTTCGCGCGAAGAGCAGGAAGTCGACGCCGCGTCACAGGAAGTGCAGGGACCGCGGTCGGTCGAGGAGATGCAGGAAGCGTTGAGGAAGGCGGCGATGCGAGGAAAGCGAGAGTCGAGCAGGAGGTTGTAGAGGGTGGGGTGAAGGCTGCCTGGACAGGCCACGGGGACGAGGGGAGCATTGCAGGGAGGGCTTGGATTGAGGAAAGTCTGAGCGAAGCTTCAGGGAGTTGGCAAGGAGGCTTGGGGCCCGCCCTGGCCTCTCAGCAGCAGCACGACGAGCCCGACGAGCGAGCGAGGCAGGGGCGGCCCCGCGGCCACATCGGGGAGGGCTCGTGCCACCGTGAAGCCCGAGGGCAGCAGGGCCCGGAGGACGCGGTCGCTCCCGAGGCCTGCTGGTTCCCCGAGGCCTGCTGGTTCCCCGAGGCCTGCTGGGTCCCCGAGACCTGCGGGGCCCCCGAGGCCTGCGGGGCCCCCGAGGCCTGTTGGGTCCCCGAGGCCTGCCGGGTCCCCGAAGCCTGCGGGGCCCCAGGCCGCCCCGTCGCATGGCCCTCGCCGTTGCCTGTGGTCGACGGGTGGCACGGCAGCGCGGCCGTCCCGCTGTGCAGCAGCACTCCCAAGACGTCGGTGGCCGCGAGCGACGTGCCGTGGCCGGGGCCCACCGAGGACGGGCCTTGGGGTCGAGGGTCGGTGCCGGATATTCCAGAGGGACCGGCCGACCCCGTGGAAGAAGAGGGCTTCTCGGTGGAGCGACAGGGAGGTCCTAGGGGAGGGTCGGGAGCCCAATTGCTGGAGGGGAAGGAGGCCGTAGGGCAGAGGCCACGGGGGGGTGAGTCGTGCGCAGCGGGGGAGCGGGCCGGGGGGTGAGGAGGAGGGGTTATTGGAGTAAGTTTATGGAGGAGAGGCTTGTAAGGAAGGGGAGGCCGGTCATGTCTGAGAGCCATGAGACGATGTCAGGCTTAGTGGGAGCCTTGCCGCTGTGGGTCTGTCTGGGTGGGTCGGTGTTGGTGGAGATGTTATGGGGTGCGTTGTGTGGGTTAGTGTCTGGGTGTGTGGGTTTGGGGGATGTCTGGATGTGTGGGGTTAGTATGGAGGGGGGGGGTGTGTGGATGTGTGGATTCGTATTTGGAGGGTCTAGGGTGTGGCACTACAGTGGGGTTGCAGTGGGATCGTGGCGGGGTCGCGGCGGGGTCGCGGTGCCGGAAGTTTTGGCCGAAGCCGTGGTATCGCGCCGCGTGGCTCAGCCACGTTTTGTCCGTGTGGCGGCCCCCAGACTCGGCACGAAGGGGAAACGGGATGGGGGGCTCGTCCACCCCGCTGCCGCCCCCCAAGCCGTCAGCGCGCTGGCAGGTGGCGATGGAGCTGCTGCAGACAGAGTCCAACTACGTGGACATCCTAACTAACATCATTGAGGTGCCTGCGTGCGTGTGTGTGCTCACAGCCTTCCTACCACTTTAATTGGAAAAACATTGGGTGAGTGGGTATCTTTGTAAAACCGTGCGGGGACAGCTGCCGCTGGGGGGGTCCCCTAGGCTAGACTGGCGATAGGGTAATGGAATGGTTAAGACAAGAGATTCGATGTCAAGCGCTTCGAGTTGCCGAGTAATTTAAGCAAGGAAATCTTTATCTGTGTCTCTGTGTGGGTCTATTGGTCTCTGTGCGAGAGTCTGGGTCTCTGTGAGAGTCTATGGGGTCACCGAGTCTCTGGGTCTCTGCTTGAGTCTCTCTCGGTCTCGTCGCATATCCGCTCTGCGGCCCCCTCTCCCGCGCGCAGCTGTTCAAGGAGCCCCTGGAGAGGGTGGCGCAGCCCGGGGGGCCCATCCTGCCAGCCGAGGAGATCAAGGCCATCTTCAGCAGCATCCCCGACATCCTGGACGTGCACACTCGCATGAAGGTGCCGCCTCCTCCCGCTCTCCTCCCGTGTCGCCGCTCGCTCGCTCAATGCCAGCGCCAGGGGCTGTGCGCTGTGTTAGTTGTGTTGAGATGGCGGTGTGGTTGTGGTGGCATTGTGCTGATGATATTGCTGATATTGCGGCGCGATTGCCGCGGTGCTCGTGGTGAGATGGCGGTGCGGTAGCGGCGCTGCTGCGGCGTCCGCGCGAGTGCCGATTGCGCTAACCGCGCGCGTCGTGGTTGTGTGGGCCCCAGGCCGACTTGGAGCAGAGCATGATCGAGTGGACGGACAACACGAGCATCGGGGACATCATCCTGCGCTACGTAGGCCCCGCACCCCCATCCCATCCCAGCGTCGTCGGCGGCAACCGTTGGCCACAGGCAGCTCCCCGTGTTGGTTGTTGTGCGTTCGCATGTTGTTGGTTATTGTGGGTACGGTTATTGTTGTGCGCGTTGTTGTTCCGGCTGCCGTGTGTCTTGGACGCTGCAGGTGTAGTTGGTGCTGCGGTGGCGAGATGTTATCTGCCTCGCCTGGTTTACAGGAGGTTGCAGGTTCGATCCCGACCGCGACGCCTGCTGTAAATTTAGAGTTTGCGGTGGTCGCGTGGATTTTTCTCAGGGTCCTCCGGTGTTTCTCTCCACATTTAGAAACACGCGTTTAGGTTACTTGGCTGCTATAAATTTCCACGTGATTAAGCCCCACCTCGTTCAGCTATCATTTGCGACCAGGTCGCCTCTGAAAAATGGCTACGTAGAGCTCAGCGCGCTTGACCTGGTAAAATAAAAACTGTTTAGTTTATGGTTTAATTGGTCGTCGTTGCCGCTGTCGTTGGCGCGGCTGTTCTCACCCCGCGTGGCTGCTTCTCTTCCAGTCGAGAGACATGGTGAAGGCTTACCCCCCGTTCGTGAACTTCTTCGAGATGAGCAAGGAGACGATCGGCAACTGCGAGAAGCAGAACCCACGCTTCCACGCCTTCCTCAAGGTGCCCCGGACGCCGTTCCTTGTCGCTCCTCCTCCGGCAAACCGATCGGGTCGTGGCGATTCCAGGGGGCGGGGGGGGGGGGAATTTGGGGGTCCCGATTTGACTCCTGATTGGCGGAACCCACTGCGACCGTCTTGGTCCGTTTTCACTCTTTTTTCCTGTCGTTTTCTCAGTTTCGTGATCCTTAGCCCTCCTGGAAACTTTAGTAAAATAACTTTGTCGGTAACGAGGCTCCCCCCACAAAGGCCACGCGGGAGGGCGCGCGGCGCAGTTTGGACGGCAGCTATCGTAGGGTGCGGTCGTGACGCTGCGGATCTCTGCGGTGAGTAACAACGTCTTTGAAAACGACGGCGCCACCTACGTAGGTTGAACTTCTTTCTCAACCGTGCGTTAGCCGGCCATGCCAATCGGAGGCTCTCTGAAGAAAATTAACGCTCAACCGCTCGCGTGTTCCGAGATTCGGCGGTGAAACGGGATACTCCGCCCTGCGACTTGCAGACGTCTCGGAGAACGCTGGCTCGGAGGTCGGAGCTCCGAGCCGGCACCGCTGAGACGCTAGGTTAGAAGATTTCGGCAGACTTTAGAAAGCGACGGCCGGACACTTGGCACCGGCGCGCGCGAGCAGCGACGGTGCCGTTGCCGAGCCGGCCTGCCGCTGGTCAAGAGGCGGGGCCAGGTTTGTTTTTGCCCGCTGCGGAAACGCCGCTGGCGTCGCTCGTGACGCGCGGACGTCGAGACGCCGTGGCGATGCCTCGGCTGACGCGTGCAGATGGCGCGGCGAAGCGTCGAGCGCGACGTCGGCACCCGCTCCTGGCCCTGCTCAGTCCCGAGGCAGATTCGAATGTCTTGTTGAGGCCGGCGTTTCGCAGTTTGGTCACGGCCTGTCTCAGCACAGCACACAGCCAGTGGGAAAATAAAAAACAAAACGCTTGGGTCGTGAGAGCCCTGCGCTGGCTCGGCTCAGATATGCCCACTGAAAAAAACATGGAAGAAATCCTTGTGTGATTTTGTAAACTATTTTTATCCCCTCCTCTTTTCCACCCTGGTGTCGATTCCGTGGGCTCTACTCCCCCCCTGCTCGCTCGCCTCCCCCCCCACCCCCCACCCCTGTTCCCTCCCCTTCTGCTCGAACTCAGATCAACCAGGCGAAGCCGCAGTGTGGCCGGCAGTCCCTGAAGGAGCTGCTCATCCGCCCGGTCCAGCGCCTGCCCAGCGTGGGGCTGCTCCTCAACGGTGAGGGGGAGGGGGGGGGGGGTGTGGCTGCGGTGGGGCGGTATGGGGGGAGCAGTGGGGGTGGGCAGCGAGCGTGGCACGAGACAGAGACGCCAAGCGGGCTGGGTGGTGCTTGCCCAGCACCGCTAAGAACCCGGGTTCGAATCCGAGCTGTCGTGTTTCGCGAGTTTGGATGGTCTCAGAATCGCAACCGGGAGTGTATTTCCCACTGAGTAAAGCCCGTAGAGCTAACAAGCTCTTTGTTTTTAAAAGAGCGACTCAGTCGGCAGACTGCATCAAAGCCTTCCACAATTACAGATGTGATAATAATTATGTTGTGAAGTTACATTCACACTTAACGTTGAGCGATTTAAATAGATAATAAATGTTATTCTGTCAAATCGCCCAATGATGCTGGATGTAATTACCAGCGAAACGGCGTACCACTCAAATTGTAAATATTTTGGATTTACTCTCCAACACTCCGGTGGGCGGAAGTAGTAAACTAATTGGCGCGTTGTTTACGTGACAAACCTTACCGGCTGTATCGGGTAGTGGAGGGTTACGACACATTTATACTTGCAGCGATCTAACCCAAAAAACCTTTATTGTGGATAGCATTGGTCGCGGTAGCCTACTACGTGTTAAAGCTGATTTTAATAGTCCGCTTAAATTGAGGACAGAGATGGCAGAATGGGGATGCCAAGAGGGACACAACGACGTTGGTTCCAAAACTTTGGGGCAGCAGCTGCAATAAAATAATGCTTTTGATTCCAAATTGTGCGTCTACGAGAGAGCAACGGTTTCCGAGCGCAGGCCCGGAACTGGGCAGCGACAAACGGCAATCTCAAAGTCGCCTGAGATGCGAGTGGCGTCATGTCTTTTTTAAGCGAGCAAGGTCACCGTTGTTGTTGTGAGAAGAGCTTGGAGAAAGGAGATGACGGGAGAGGATTCCGAGGTGGAGCCGTGTGGTGACTGCAGTGGGTGAGTGTAGTGTAGCGGTCAATGCGCTACAAACCCCGCTGACCGCCCCCCCCCCGAGTTAGATTCCCACTCACGGCCAACACCGGTGACAAATATCTCAAACCGATCCGGGTCTCGCCTAGGTAGACTCGGCCTTAAATTAGTTGGGGGAGACAAAGGCGGTCCGGCCGGGCGTGGCGTTGGCCACCGGCCGCCTCGTAGCTGGCGGGCGGCACTTACATCCGTGGGTGACCGTTGCCTTTTGTTCGTCTGCACGCGCAGACATCATGAAGCACACGTCGGAGGGGAGCGCCGACAAGCGGAGCCTCAGGAACGCCATCGAGGCTCTCAAGGAGGTCATGACGTACGTCACCGCCCCGGCCCCCCCCCCGTCCGTGGGTGCCAGCGCGGCCGCCGGGGTTTAGGCCCCGCGAAGCCTCGCCCGTGCCGAGCGTGGGGGGGGGGGGGGTCGGCACCGGCAACCGCGTGCGTGTGTGTGTGTGTGCATGTTGCGCGTGGTGTGGCCTCAACGTGCACATAGCCTGGCACAAGCGCCGTGGTGACGTCAACGTCACTTAGTGGCGAATGGCGGGCATTGGTATCGGGGAGGGGGAGGGGGGGGGCTGTGTCTGGGTGCTCGGCTCATTGCCATGCCGGTGATGGCACAGTCACCCGCGCTGCTGCTTGGCCTCAATCTCAAGGGCATGTGCGCGTCTGCGAGCGCGCGTAGTGGCAGCGCGGGTTGGTTGGTGCGCTGCGTTATGAGCCCCGAATGCAATTCCCAGTCGGCGCAAGCATCGGCGGTGATTAGCTGAATCGGTTCCGGGCCTCGGCTAGCAACCACCACTCTGCGCTCGCTCTCGCGGCTTCTCCCCGCTCGCATCTCAACGAGGCGGCCGCTGCCGAGAGCATGCACCCCCGCTCGCTTGCTCGCTCCGCGTCGATCTCGCCGCGGCCTTCGGGAGAGCCGCGCCCGCGAGAGCCACGCTCGCGAGAGCCACGCTCGTGAGAGCCACGCTCGCGAGAGCCACGCTCGCGAGAGCCACGCTCGCGAGAGCGCCGCTCGCGAGAGCCACGCTCGCGAGAGCCACGCTCGCGAGAGCACTCCAGGCACTGGCGAGAGCGGCGCTCGCGAGAGCCGCGAGAGCAATGCCCGTGAGAGAGCACTCCAGGCGCTCGCGAGAGCGGCGCTCGCGAGGGCGCTGCCCGCTCGTGGACATGGCCGCAATTAAAAAGCGTCTAATTCGCTCGCGAGTCCCTGAATTACTCGCGAGTACTTGAGGGATTCCTCGCAGATCAGTCGTCCTTTTGTACTTGGTACGCCTCCGATACCCCAACCCGCCCTCCCCCCCCCGTCGAAGCACGCACAGCCATTGAGCCGTGCATGGGCGTTTGGCGATTCCATTAGTCTCTCGCCTAGATAATGAAGGCCGCGCGTGCGTTGATTGCGTTCGTCATCCTACCAGCTGGCGTAATGGATTTTTATTTTTTTTGTGCTTGGGATGCGTTCCCAATTTTCGTTTTAATCTGAAAAATCTGAAAGAGGAAAAAGAAAATAAAAACACGAATTGAGTGGCAACTCGCGCCGAGATTTGAAATTCCGGAGAGAAAAGAGAAAACATATATAATTTCAACTCCACTTTGTTTGTCCAAGAAAACCTTGCCCGAGCCTCGGAAATTCTCTTGAGGAGGGGGCGGGGGGGGGGGGGCGGTCCCGCAAACTTTTTTCAGTACGGGGGGGTGGGGCGGGCGATGTTGTTGTTGTTGCCGCCACGTGTAATCCCGGTTCGTGTAATTTGGCCAATGGCGGTTGCGTTGTATATTTTAGTTTTGTTTTAGCTGCGGATTAATTTCAACGAATCAAATTGTTTTCCGGGATTAATGTGAAATCCGGGACGACCGCGGGAATTGGCGTCGCACGTATTACGCCGCTCCTAAACTTCCCCCCCCCTTCCAAAACTGTCGGCGGGCGGCACCGCGGCCTCCCGTAACATTAGTACGTGCAAGGCAAGCGACGTGGAAATCTGAAACCTGTTCCAAAATTGTCCTCGAACATCCAACGAGCGAAACTCGTTTCTGCCGATTTGGTGGCGGCGTTGGTGGTCGTGCGTGCGTGCGTGTATGATGTGCGTGTCGTCGGCGAGCCTTCGACGCTTCACGTGGCCTGGCGCAGGCGCTGTGGTGACGTCACCGTCGCTTAGTGGCGAATGGCGGTTGTATTGGTATTGGACGTATGTAGCGGGGTGTGGTGGCGCAGTGGATAGCGTGCTGTACTACGAATCCGTCGACCCTAGTTGCTTTCTCAATCACGACCAACGCCGATGACGATTATCTAAACCGTTCCTGGGCCTCCCCTAGGTCTGCTCAGCCTTAAAACGAGTACCTGCAAGATAAAGGCATGGTATCGGGCACCAACACCCCACCCACCACCGTGTGCCCTGCCGGCCTTCAGAGGTGCTCGCTAACAGCACTCGGCTCCAAAAGTCTGTTGAGGCTATCCGGGGGATCTTTGTCTCTGTATGTGTGTGTGTGTGTTGGATGAGCGCGCGTCCGTGTGTTTGTTTGCACGAGCACGAGAGTGTGTTTTCGCCTTGCCCGCCTGTTATGGGAGCGCGAGTATCATCGTGTCACTGATGAGTGTCGTGTAAAGGTTATTGAGGTCAGTCGCGTGGAGCCTTAGTGGTCAATTTGCGTTGCACGGGAACGTCGCCATCAGTCCTGGTCAGCGAATCATCGATCTCAGCTCCCTCCGTGTGATACCCAGATTCTGTGAAGGTCTTTAGTTATTGATCGCTGCCAGTTGACGTGCTGCTCTCCACGCGTTCTCTCCTTCAAGGTTTCCCCCAATCCGTCTGTGATGCAGGCACCCGGTTTGCTCCAGACAGAACGTTGTCATTTGTTACGGGTTTGTGTTGTAATGCGTTATGGGTTTGTGTTGTAAAGTCTTATGGGTTTGTGTTGTAAGGCGTTATGGGTTTGTGTTGTAAAGTCTTATGGGTTTGTGTTGTAAGGCGTTATGGGTTTCTGTTGTAAAGCGTTATGGGTTTGTGTTGTAATGCGTTATGGGTTTGTGTTGTAAAGTCTTATGGGTTTGTGTTGTAAAGCGTTATGGGTTTCTGTTGTAAAGCGTTATGGGTTTGTGTTGTAAAGTCTTATGGGTTTGTGTTGTAAAGTCTTATGGGTTTGTGTTGTAAGGCGTTATGGGTTTGTGTTGTAAAATCTTATGGGTTTGTGTTGTAAAGTCTTATGGGTTTGTGTTGTAAAGTCTTATGGGTTTCTGTTGTAATGCGTTATGGGTTTGTGTTGTAAGGCGTTATGGGTTTGTGTTGTAAAGTAATATGGGTTTGTGTTGTAAAGCGTTATGGGTTTCTGTTGTAAAGTCTTATGGGTTTGTGTTGTAAAGTCTTATGGGTTTCTGTTGTAATGCGTTATGGGTTTGTGTTGTAAGGCGTTATGGGTTTCTGTTGTAAAGTCTTATGGGTTTGTGTTGTAATGCGTTATGGGTTTGTGTTGTAAAGTCTTATGGGTTTGTGTTGTTAAGGCGTTATGGGTTTGTGTTGTAAGGCGTTATGGGTTTGTGTTGTAAAGTCTTATGGGTTTGTGTTGTAAGGCGTTATGGGTTTGTGTTGTAAAATCTTATGGGTTTGTGTTGTAAAGTCTTATGGGTTTGTGTTGTAAAGTCTTATGGGTTTCTGTTGTAATGCGTTATGGGTTTGTGTTGTAAGGCGTTATGGGTTTGTGTTGTAAGGCGTTATGGGTTTGTGTTGTAAAGCGTTATGGGTTTCTGTTGTAAAGTCTTATGGGTTTGTGTTGTAAGGCGTTATGGGTTTGTGTTGTAAAGTCTTATGGGTTTGTGTTGTAAAGTATTATGGGTTTGTGTTGTAAGGCGTTATGGGTTTGTGTTGTAAAGTCTTATGGGTTTGTGTTGTAATGCGTTATGGGTTTGTGTTGTAAAGTCTTATGGGTTTGTGTTGTAAAGTCTTATGGGTTTGTGTTGTAATGCGTTATGGGTTTGTGTTGTAAAGTGTTATGGGTTTCTGTTGTAAAGTCTTATGGGTTTGTGTTGTAAAGTCTTATGGGTTTGTGTTGTAAAGCGTTATGGGTTTGTGTTGTAACGTCTTATGGGTTTGTGTTGTAAAGCATTATGGGTTTGTGTTGTAAAGTCTTATGGGTTTGTGTTGTAAGGCGTTATGGGTTTCTGTTGTAAAGTCTTATGGGTTTGTGTTGTAAGGCGTTATGGGTTTCTGTTGTAAAGTCTTATGGGTTTTGTGTTGTAAAGCGTTATGGGTTTGTGTTGTAAAGTCTTATGGGTTTGTGTTGTAAAATCTTATGGGTTTGTGTTGTAAGGCGTTATGGGTTTGTGTTGTAAAGTCTTATGGGTTTGTGTTGTAAGGCGTTATGGGTTTCTGTTGTAAAGTCTTATGGGTTTGTGTTGTAAAGTCTTATGGGTTTGTGTTGTAAAGCGTTATGGGTTTGTGTTGTAAAGTCTTATGGGTTTGTGTTGTAAGGCGTTATGGGTTTCTGTTGTAAAGTCTTATGGGTTTGTGTTGTAAAGTCTTATGGGTTTGTGTTGTAAAGCGTTATGGGTTTGTTTTGTAAAGTCTTATGGGTTTGTGTTGTAAAACGTTCTGGGTTTATGTTGTAAAGTCTTATGGGTTTATGTTGTAAAGTCTTATGGGTTTGTGTTGTAAAGCGTTATGGGTTTGTGTTGTAAAGCGTTATGGGTTTGTTTTGTAAAGCGTTATGGGTTTGTGTTGTAAAACGTTTGGGTTTATGTTGTAAAACGTTCTGGGTTTATGTTGTAAAGCGTTCTGGGTTTATGTTGTAAAGCGTTCTGGGTTTGTGTTGTAAAACGTTCTGGGTTTATGTTGTAAAGCGTTATGGGTTTGTGTTGTTTACATTTTGGGAGGGAACCGGAGCACCCGCAGGGGGAAACGCACCGTCCCACGCAGATGGTGCAGACGGAGTCCTGCACTTGTGCTGTTCCGCCTTCTCGTCGCGAGCACAGGGTACACTGCTCCTCCTGGGCGCCCACCCACGGGGACGGGAGTCTGGCGCAACGTCCGTGCGGTGATCCACCGACCCTCGCTTGCCCGCCGCCGCCTCCGCGGCCACGCGCGGTGCAGCGTGGCCGCCAGCGAACGGCGATGCGCGATCCCCGCTTGGCACCTTGCTCGGCGTTGGCACAAATCTCCTGGGACGTCGTCTCCGAGATATTTTTGCAGGAAACGGTAGAAGCCCGGGGGAAACCCATCGCAAAAGCTGGGAGAGGCGATGCAGAAGGGGGGGGGCAGGCGGTGCAAACGGGGTCGGTGGTACAAACGTCACGCGGAACGGGCGCGCGAGCCGGGGGCGAAGAAACCCGAGCTCCCTTGTCGCGGCAGGGCGGCACGAGCGTCAGCGCCGCGCCCGCCGCCGCCGTGCCGCCCGCTGTGACCCCACGTGTCCCCCCCCCACCACCGCGTGTCTCCTTGCGTGTCCCCATGCGTGTGCCCCGTGTGTCCCCTGCCCCGTGGCGTGAAGGCACATTAACGAGGACAAGCGCAAGACGGAGGGCCAGCGCCTGATATTCGACATCGTGTACGAGGTCGAGGGCTGCCCGGTGAGATGCGTGCACACGGGGATGGACGGACACGCACCCCCTGCGTAGCCTTTGACGGGACCGTTGGGGCAAGCGCTGTTAGCAGGCGCCTAATTAAGCCGCCTGCTAACATGCGTGGAGGGGAGTAGAATGAGATGAGAGGGGAGAGGCAGGAGAGTGCGTGGAGGGTCGTGACGGCGGTGTCCGCGTGTGTCCGTGCGGCCAGGCCAACCTGCTCTCTTCGCACCGCACGCTGGTGGCTCGCGAGGAGGTGACGGCGCTGGACGATGAACTCTGCGACCGTGGCGAGACCATCTCCATGTTCCTGTTCACCGACTGCCTGGAGGTAGGGACCCTCTCGCCCGCCACGCCAAGCGCGCCCAGCACACCGGCCCTGCTGGGCTCTCCCACTCGTTTGGCTCATTTGAGTTGTTTCCGAAAGTTTCCGTCAAAACCCCATCGTCCCACGGGCAGCCGTATGCATGCATGCATGCGCACGCACGCGCGAGCAATGTCGGCCCCCTTCCTCTCAACTTGGCAGGACCCTGTTGACGAAGGGTCTTGAGACTCGGTGAGACTTCACCGAGTAAACAAGGACTTTAATAATGGAAAATAAAAGCGCCATGTAAATGCAAATCCCTATCCGAAGGTCAAGAGGTCATCACAGCCAATGCCACTACACCGGGCCGTTGCCTCCTTCCCTCTGCCAGGTGGTGGGGCATGGCCTTGGGAGTCCCACATCTGTACGCGCAGTGGGGAGCGGACGTGTGATGGTTGGTGCGCCGTGCTACGATCCTGGCGGCCCGAATTCGACTCCCGCTCGCGGTTAACGTCACCGCCAAATGTGTGAACTTGGCCTAGTTCCCACCGGAGGTTGACTTGGCTTTAAACGAGCGCTTGGTGCGCTGTGCAAAAGTCACCGCCGGGGAGACAAAGGCGGCTGTGCGCTGTCCCGGCCACACCCCGGCCTCGTGCGCCGTGCCGGCCTTTCATCGGTGCTTGCCAACAGCACATGCCCTGAACAGCCCGTCGAGGCTATACGGGTGTCTTTGTGGCTGCAAGCCAGCGAGAGGTGTGTGCGTGTGTGCGGGCGCGCGTGCGTTGCCGCATGACTGACTCCCCCTCGCTTTGGGAAAACATGTAAATCTCCGCTAATGCATAAAACATTAACCCTCGGCACGCCGCCACCCCGTGCCACCCCGTCGACGCCCGCGCAGGTGCCACCTCCGGGGCCTGCTGTTGCCCGTGACCTGCAAGCTTCCGCTGTCCGTGCCAACGCCCCCGGCCGCGGCGTCCCCTGTCCTCGGAGCGGTCGGCGGGCGTGCGGAGCGGACGGGGGGGAGGAGGAAGGGGTAGCGGTGGGGGGGGGGGTGGGGCGGCAGTGACCACGATCGGTGGGATCGTCGCCATCGCCGGTTGTCGGTTGCTGTCGTTGATGGGGCGGGAGGAAGGGGCCAGCCGTGAATTTGGCCCGCGGCTGTGGCGGGGGTCGTAGGTTGAAGGTCGTAGCGAGGTGAAGGGGTTAAGGCGGACGCGAGAAGGGTGGAAAACACAACGCGTGCGCTCGTACGTCGTTTTCCAAAGCATTTCTCACATACAGAATAATTTGAATACATTACAATGACTGATGAGCTGGTGTCTGCTCCAGAGATGGGGAGGCGGGGGTGGGGCGCTCGGTGGGGGTGGGGGGAGGGTGGCGGTTGTTTCTATTTTCTTGCTCTAAACAATGCGAGCCGTTTGAAGCGGATTTCCTGGGAGATGTGTAATTATTATTGTTCCGCAGATCTGCCGCCTCTGATCGGGGGCCGTGTGCGCGGAAGCGCGACGCCGCCGACGCTCCGCGGCGCGCGGCGCGCGGGGACGGGTTAATCGCCGCTTCAGAGGCTGTGCGACGGCGCCACCGGGCACGCGTGGCGCTCGTGTGGCCGGTGCCGCTCGTGTGCCCGGGTGCGTGGAGCTGCGTGCGCCGGGGGGAGTGGCGACGCAGGCGTCTAGCGCGCGCTGCGCCACAAACCTGGCAACCCCCCGAGCTCGCTTCCTCCGCTCAAGGCCGTCAACGCCGGCGACGATTATTTGAATCGGTCCCGGGCCTCCGCTAGGTGGACTCGGCCTCAAATGATTACCTGGTGCGATGTGTAAACATCGCCACTGGGGGGACAATGGCGGCCGGGGATGGTGCTGGGCCGCCCCTCCCTTGTGGCTCGTGCCGGCCTCCGTCGGTGCTTACTAACGGCGCTTGCCCCAAATGTCTGTTAGAGGCTATACGGGGATATCTTTGTGTGTGTGTGCGCATCAGCGTGCGTGGGTAGGTGTGTTTGTGTGCACTAGTGTGCGTGGGTAGGTATGTGTGGCTGTGCATCCGCATGTACAGTGAGGGGAAAAAAGTAGTTGATCCCCTGCTGATTTTGTACGTTTGCCCACTGACAAAGAAATGATCAGTCTATAATTTTAATGGTAGGTTTATTTGAACAGTGAGAGGCAGAATAACAACAAAAAAATCCAGAAACACGCATGTCTAAAATGTTACAAATTGATTTGCATTTTAATGAGGGAAATAAGTATTTGACCCCCTCTCAATCAGAAAGATTTCTAGCTCCCAGGTGTCTTTTATACAGGTAACGAGCTGAGATTAGGAGCACACTCTTAAAGGGAGTGCGCTTAATCTCAGCTTGTTACCTGTATAAAAGACACCTGTCCACAGAAGCAATCAATCAATCAGATTCCAAACTCTCCACCATGGCCAAGACCAAAGAGCTCTCCAAGGATGTCAGGGACAAGATTGTAGACCTACACAAGGCTGGAATGGGCTACAAGACCATTGCCAAGCAGCTTGGTAAGAAAGTGACAACAGTTGGTGCGATTATTCGCAATTGGAAGAAGCACGAGAACTGTCATTCTCCCTCGGCCTGGGGCTCCATGCAAGATCTCACCTCGTGGAGTTGCAATGATCATGAGAACGGTGAGGAATCAGCCCAGAACTACACGGGAGGATCTTGTCAATGATCTCAAGGCAGCTGGGACCATAGTCACCAAGAAAACAATTGGTAACACACTACGCCGTGAAGGACTGAAATCCTGCAGTGTCCGCAAGGTCCTCCTGCTCAAGAAAGCACATATACATGCCCGTCTGAAGTTTGCCAATGAACATCTGAATGATTCGGAGGACAACTGGGTGAAAGTGCTGTGGTCAGATGAGACCAAAATGGAGCTCTTTGGCATCAACTCAACTCGCCGTGTTTGGAGGAGGAGGAATGCTGCCTATGACCCGAAGAACACCATCCCCACCGTCAAACTTGGAGGTGGAAACATTATGCTTTGGGGGTGTTTTTCTGCTAAGGGGACAGGACAACTTCGCATCAAAGTGACGATGTACCGTCAAATCTTGGGTGAGAACCTCCTTCCCTCAGCCAGGGCATTGAAAATGGGTGGTGGATGGGTATTCCAGCATGACAATGACCCAAAACACACGGCCAAGACAACAAAGGAGTGGCTGAAGAAGAAGCACATTGGCTAGGCCACTCCAGGACCTTAGTCTCCAGACCTTAATCCCATAAAAAATCTGTGGAGGGAGCTGAAGGTTCGAGTTTCCAAACGTCATCCTCGAAACCTTAATGACTTGGAGAAGATCTGCAAAGAGGAGTGGGACAAAATCCCTCCTGAGATGTGTGCAAACCTGGTGGCCAACTACAAGAAACGTCTGACCTCTGTGATTGCCAACAAGGGTTTTGCCACCAAGTACTAAGTCATGTTTTGCAGAGGGGTCATACTTATTTCCCTAATTAAAATGCAAATCAATTTATAACATTTTTAACATGCGTTTTTCTGGATTTTTTTGTTGGTATTCTGTCTCTCACTGTTCAAATAAACCTACCATTAAAATTATAGACTGATCATTTCTTTGTCAGTGGGAAAACGTACAAAATCAGCAGGGGATCAAATACTTTTTTTCCCTCACTACATGGGGAGGTGTGTGTGTCTGTGTGTGCCGCGGGAGCGGTAGTGTTGCGGTTAGCCCGCTGCACTATGCACCCTGGTGACCCGAGTTCGATTCATGCTCACGGCGACCACCAGTGACGATTATCGCATGTGGACCCAAATGCGTAGCTGGTGCGGTGTGTAAACATCGCCACTGGAGAGACAAAGGCGGCCAGGTGTGGTGTTGGCCACCCCCTCGTGTGCTGTGCCGGCCTTCATAGGTGCTGTTACTCACTAACAGCACTTGCCCCAACAATCTGTTTAGTCTATACGGGGGATCTTTGGAGATGTGTGCATATGGGAATGTGTGTGTGCGCGTGCGTCTTTGTCTGGGGAGGTGTGTATGTGTGTGTGTGTATACGTCCGTGTGTGTGCGGAGGTGTGGGCTGTGTTCGTTCTGTGATTACGTGGCGCTGGCCACTCCACCCCGCCGTGCGCCGTGTCCGGCCATCGTAGGCCGCTGCTCGCTAACGGTGCTTGCCCCAGCGGTCCCGTTAAAGGCTACACGGGGGGAACGGGGGCTAGCGGGGGAACCATTGTCTTTATGTGCAGCAAGCTCCATTGGTGCAGCGCGTGTCCACACGCGCACTCCTCTGTGTGCGATCTCTTCGCCGACCGCGCGCGTCATCGTGTCTGTTCGCTCGCCGCTCCGCCACGCGCCGTTTCCCCCGCTGCCTCTCCGCCCGGCTGTGCTTGGCATTCTGATGCCCGTGTGGGAGGCCACCCGCCGTTGATGGTCCCTGTGCTCCGCGCGGCCTGCACGCTCTCTGGACACGCGCGCGCACACCCTTACGCTCGCTCGCGTAATTTTGTTGATTCTTTTTTAAAGTATTTTTGTACGATCAAAAGTAAGTGACGTCGAGGTGGATGGGGTAGTTCGTTCGGCGGCTCTGTGCTTGGCGGACGGTTTGCCGGATAGGTGGGTGGATGAGTAGCGCGATAGATAGGCGGCTGGCCGGTTGTATCGGTGGTCGGGGTGGGCAAGTGGCTTGGTGGTTTGGCGAGTCGGTGGCCGAATTAAAGGTTTGATGGGTGAAGGCATGGCTGCTGTATCGATGGGTAGCTGTGTGAATGTGTCGATGGGTGTAAGGGTAGCTGGGCGGATGGGTAGTTGGCTGGATGAGTAACTCCGTGGCTGAGCGGATAGGGGGCTGAATGGCTATGTGCACAGATTTTAATTTAGTTGTTTTCATTTTAATTTGTTTTTCGATTTAAAGCTTTCGTGACTGCAGAGATTCATCTTCTTGGTTCTTTCGGTAAAGTCACGTAGAATTGAAATACAATAATAAAAATAAAACATGATAAAATAAAAATTCTCACGACGTTTTGGCCACAACACAAGTAGCCTTCCTCAGGTGAAGAGACAGAACT